CTGTTATGTTGGCCATAAGACCAACACTGGACACAATGATTCCAATCCAATCTAAAGAGAACCTTCTACTAAAATGCTTACAGAAACGTAGGCAAAACCCAAACGAAAGTTTCGACAACTGCATCTGGAAAAAATACCAAAAATTGATGGTATCACTGTTTCTTCTATGGATCCAATAGACACCTAAGAAATGACTATCCTGCAAGCAATTCTTACTGTAAAGGTTGTGGTAATAAAGGTCACCTTGTTAAGATATGAAAGTCTTTATCTCAAATATATAAATAACTATCATGAAACTCAAAAATTGAGCATACAACTTCATCAGGCATAAGACACATAAGTTATTCTTCAAGTTAGCTCTAGGTCTTTCAAAAGCATTTGTCCCAGTTAATGTAAATGGTAAAGCAGCTCCAGCTCTAATTGACACTGGTAGTAACTTACCATTAGTTTCCTGAGTAGTGACTTAGTAAATAAACTGAAAATGAAAACCTATCAGTCAAGTATCAATGGCAGCATCTGAATTAACTTCTAAAACTAAAGGTGAATACAAAGTTAGTTTGAAGATTCTTGGTAACTTATACAATAATGTGATTTTGTGCATTTTACCTAACCTCTTTTGTGATTTGATAATAGGTCACGATTTACTCAGTTGTCATTCTAAATTAGAACTTACATTAGGCGGACCCGGACCAACAACGTCATTTGTTTATGTTTATTATTCATACCGGTATTTTTATAGTATTCATGGCGGACCCGAATCACCATTTGCTATAGTATCTGTAGCAGCTGCAAATGTACCACAAGCTTCCTTTCACATGATTGTCACCCTTTCTTGCATGAAGGGGTAATAGAACCAAGACGAGTATCTCCATGGAGAGCTCAAGCTTTTGTTACCAGCTCCGAAAACCACAAGCAGCGTAGGGTAATAGAAACCACAAGCAGTGTATGGTAATACACTACTCTAACACTATAAACAGATTTACAAGTCTAGATGCTTATTCGATCCAAACTCTTGAATATATTGCCAACAAAACTGCTAACTATGAAAAGTTTGGTGCCATAGATTTAAAAATCGGTTACCATCAAATATCGATCAAGGGATGAAGATAATCCTTTTACAGCCTTTAAAGCTCGTGGTCAGCTCTATCAATTTACCAGAATTCCCTTTGGGGTGACAAATAGTTCCAGAGAGTTATTGATGGCATAATAAGGGCAGAAAATCTTAATGACATCTTTGCTTATTCTGACATATGTGGTAAAACATAAGAGGAGCATGACAGGCACCTAAACCGGTCAATGAACGCTGCTAGTAAGTATAACCTGACTATTAATGAAAATAAATGCTCTTTATCAATGAAATCTATTAGCATTGATTATTGTATACTAAAGGCTATTAGCCTCAATTTTGAAGAACAACCTTCCTGGAGAGGAGTTTTTTTACAGAGATGGATTTTTTACAGAAATCCTGACCTCCACCTGCGAATGAGCCGCAACACAACACATAGGCGAGCCAAAATTGGCCATGAAGAGGTCTCACAGTATTTCGAGAACCTAAAAGAAAGCTCAAAGAACAACTCCTGCGACCAACATCCTAAATTACGACGAAACAAACCTTAGTGATGACCCGGTATCTACCAAGTGCATATTTAAAAGGGGGACAAAGTACCCTGAAAGAATCCTCAACAGCTCAATGAGCTGCATTTCTATGATGTTTGTTGGCACGGCGAGTGGACATCTATTGCCACCTTCTGTGTGTTACAAGGCTGAGAGGCTGTATAGTGTATGATGCTTGGGTGGCTGGTGGCCCACCCGGAGCCCGTTACAATCGGTCAAAATCAGAGTGGATTAATGAAGAGACATTCGCCGATTGGTTTAAGACAGTAGCACTACTATGGGTAAAATCCTTGGAGGGTAAAAGGGTAGTGATCGGGGACAATCTTTCAACCCATTTTTCCGGTGATGTTTTGAAGATGTGTAAACAACACAACACACGCTTTGTGTGCTTGCCACCTAATGCGACACACTTAACGCTAGACGTCGCCTTTTTTAGGCCTCTAAAAGGAGCTTGGCGTCAGATACTTTGCGATTGGAAAGTGAGAACCAGTTCCCTTCTCTGCTCGCAAAGCTTTGGGAGACCGTCAGTGCCAATCAAGCCAAAAATCTGCAAGCTGGATTCCGGGTGTACTATTTTACTAAGAATTAAGTGGATGCACTGTTTTATGTCATAACTCAAACTCAACTAACTTTATTTACCTTTTTACAAACATGGAATAACAAATACATATATGATTATAATTAATATAAATTAACATGTGGTATTAAATAAACTGTTCTCACAACATCGGGCATGTGGCATTTATCCGCTCTATCCAAAACATGTTCTTGACAAGTTTGCAAAGCGAATGGAAAACCAAGTGATGGAATCGCCTTCCAAGCAACCAAGGAAGCTTGTCGGCGAAGCTGTCATTCAATTTTTATCTGACTTGCGTCACAGCCCAGGGCAAACCAAGCCAATGAGGTAGATAAAATTGAATGTTTCTCCTGGATCGAGTATCTCTGCCAGCGCCATCCAGACTCAAAACCCAAAACCTTCAACCAGTGCGGAAGAACCGGTAAAGAAGAAGGTCACTAAAAAGAGACTAGAGTAGAGTCGTCCAGTTCAAACGATGAAGACGATTTTTCAGTTCAGACTTTTCTGATGATTTGAACTTTTCCGACCCAGATGAACCTCAGCCGCTTGGTAGTGATGGAGTTTTCAAGGACCTGGCTGTCGGGGATTGGTTGCTGGTGAAGTTCCCTGGTGAACGAGAAGTTAAATATTACTTGGGAGTTGTTGAGCAAATTGTTTCAGAAGATTTGGATATAAAGTTTGCTCGCAACATCAACACCACATGTTTGTTCAAGTGGCCAGAACCGGCGGATAGGTGCATCGTCAACTATGACCAAGTAGAAAGAAACATTGGTGTGCCAAGTTTGAAATATAAAAATGATAGGTTGGTCAGTTTTAAGTTCCCTTGTTCTTTTGATGGCTTCGCCATTCAATAAATGTACAGTGTAATGTCTCTTTTGTGTTCAATTACTTATTGTTCTTTTGATAACTATACCATTATATAAATTTAGGCCTACTATGTAATGTTGCGTCTTACTCTATGCAATCTCTCCCAACCTCTCACCAAATAACTTTAAGCACAGAATTATATTCTCTCAAATGGCGCGTTGTTCTTGGACCATGGTTTTTCTTGTTGTTTGGCAGATTTGTGAGCCAATCCTTGTCCCTGCACATGGGATCACACTTCCAATTTGTTTTCCTGGGTGCAGGTGCGAGGGCGTGGTTCAGATGGTAGCAGAGCGTGGTTCAGATGGTTAAGGTCTTGGCTCCTTGTTGTGGACTTCACAGTTTCACAACTAGGAGACTTACTAGGAGGGATCCGGTCACTGTCCACGTTCCGTAGTGTTTTGAAGGACCGTGGATGGATTGAGTTCTCAGAGAGTACTAGCCTGGCAATTTTGGGAAAATTGTTCTTGTTGTTGTGGTAGGGGGAGTGCACACTGATTATTTTTTTTTATTCAGAGTTAGTTCGCCCTTTAGCCGAGGAACTGTGTGGAATCTAGTTAATGACTTGCATCCTCCGGGAGCAAGAGTTTCAAAAGCATGGTCACTCTCTCAAAAAAAGAAGAGAAAAATGTTTGTGTGTGTTCACCCCATCACACAAGTGTTAGGTGTTGTTTAGTATATGTTTCTGTGTACGTATGTGTATATGTGTATGTTGCGGTATAGGCGGTATGAATGGGCAGGTTCTTTTTTTAGGCCTCATCAGGTGCGTAGGCATTCACGTCCAGAACCCTTAGGAGTCAAGTTGTGATTACGTAATGTTTCTTGAATGTGTTGAGTTTGATACTGATTGGAAGCAAGATGGGTTTGGAAATGTTGTGTCGGGGGGAGATAGGGGCGCAAACTCAAGGGTTGTTTGCATCTCTGCGTCTGTTTTAAGTGGGTATTGTCCGGTTAATGGGTTGGAGGTGGTACCTTTGCTGGGGTTTTTGGAGAAGGGGCTGTACCTAAGGGAGTTTTCGGGTGTGACGGGCCCGGTAGTGATGGAATTACTGGTTCCAATTTGCTTGAGGCCTCTTAGTGAGAGGTTGTTAGATTGTTTAACACGGAGTGTGATTTTGACACCTTCCACAGTGAGGTGCTTGAACTCTTTGTCACCCTCAGGGTCAGAAAGAGATTGAAAGTTGAGAAGTTGTTTCGCCCTCAAAACTTTGATGAAGCTCTTAGTCAGTATTTTTGTGACATTCGTATAGTGGAAAGTGTCTTGCGTCTGGGAATCGGTGAGCTTGAGCTCATTGACATTGTGGTTCAGGGGTTGAAACCTGAGGAACGCTCTCGGTTAGTTTTGGCACCGTAATAATTTGCGGATCTGGACAGGCTCTCCATTGTTTTGAGAACTGTCCAGGACCATGGGGTACCCAGAGAGGGGAAGGGGGGCAGCTGCCCCCCTAGAAGCCAGGATAAGGTATAACAAATTGATTGACATGAAAGCGTTTCAAATTTATTCCAGGATGTAATGAAGCCTGATGCGTATTTAAAATAATACTTAATTATGGATTTCAATTTTATTTAAAATAAACTAATATCCAATTTGTAAACTGAGGCTCTTTTTATTCATCTATCCTATTTTGGTCTCAGTACAGTTTGTCGGCTACCATATAAATACCACATTTGATCTAATCATAGATTAAAGACAAAGAGTAGACCTTCAATGTCCGTAACCGATCGGGGACGCTCGGCAATGAATTTCGTTCGTATATTTTCGTTGGAAATGTACATATTTAGAACATCAGTTTTTACAAATACAGCTGAATATAATAAGAAAAACACTCTTTTTATACCTTTGAGTAGTCAGTATTATTTTTAAGTCAAATTTCACCTGTTAAAATTAACTATATGTCAAAGTAAAAAGATTGTATCCTGAGGAAAGTGAAGAAATAGAAATAGATACTTCTGAAGTATTTATTTTGATTATGTAACAATAAATAGCTATGAACAACTGTCAATAGTACTGAGACAACTACCCTCAGACCAGAAAAGAAACAAACAAAAATTGCAAAGAAAAACAATTCCTAGGCTAAATAAATAAATTAAAAAAGGACAAGACATTCTAATAAGGTGAAAATTGTTTGTTTAATGCAAGTAATGTTATTTTAAATATTGTACAACTGTTAAGTATAAAATGCAAATATAGGCTTGGTTTTATGATGTAGTAGATATATTTTTTACTGTAATAGAAAGAACAGGATTTAATTTGTGCATTAATTTGAATAATTTTTGTCACCTATGATCAATCTTGTTACTATATCATTAGTAGTAACTGATCTTGAACGCTAGAAAATAATCATATAGTTACTAAAAACTACTTCTTTGGAATACAATTTTAGTCTTAGATTCAACTTATGTTTTGATAAATTACATTGTTATAAAACTCTAAAATTCTTGTATAAGCTGATCTCTCATTAAAAGGCAACATCGATAATAGATTACTATTGTATGCGACTTATACTCACTTACAGAAACTTTCTATATGACAAAGTAGAAAATAATCAGATAAAAGTCTGCCTACTTTATCCTAAAGTTTCAGCTCTGTGTTTGACACATTCGTATTAAAATAATAAATATCACAGTTACATTAGTCATAGGGAATACTGACAAATGGGAAAACCCGTCTTCAGATGAAGAAATATGTTTAAAGAAGATAAACGTAAACCTCAAACTGAAAGCATTTTCCCTCAACCAAAGTAACTAGGATATGACAAAACTAAAAATAACACAGAACTAAGAGACATACAAATAAACCCTGTTAGACACTGCTCAATGGCATCAATTATTTTTAAATGCAGTTTCACATTAGGCACAACTTCAGCCAGAATGAAATAAAAGGTTTAGAAAAATGTGAACTAGACTCAAATAAGTCTAAATCAGCTCTTACATTAAAAATGTAACATACAACATAATGGACTGGGTTTTACAATTTCCTTAGGATAGTAGGCTTATCCAAAATGGAAAGAGCCAAGTCTGACACAAAAAACACAAAAAAAAAAAAAACAATTAGCCTACACACAAAAATTTGAATATTTTACTACTACTAACATTTCTCTGACGACTAGGGAAGACGACTCAAACCTTCCTCGGTTAAAAATGCTGCCAGCGACAGTGATATTATCTAATTTCTGTGTATAGTTTAAATTTATTTGTGTTTCTTGTGCCAATGTTAGTTGTGTTTCTTGTGCCAAGGTTAGTTGTGTTTCTTGTGCCAGAGTGGACTTTCCACTCAGGTGAGACTTCTCTATCCTAACAAAAATCTTTAAACACAACTCTTAGATTAGTTGGTTAAGATATCAAAGGCTATGTCAAATAACCAAATATCAATTTTGTCAACCTGCAATTTAAATTATTGGAATGAAAATCAATCATCCATAACTTAACAGTTTTGAAATTCATTTTCACTTGACCCTCAATAGATCTGAAAAACATAAAAAACGTGAAACTGCAAGAGGAAAACCGAAGGAACAATTTGATAAACAAATTACAAAACAAGTCCACAACCGTCAGATTATTTCACAGGTGTTATCAACTCGTGGTGATAGTGTACGTGACAGACTCTCCCAGCCTAACTGACTTGCCGTTCTCTTGGGCCAGAACAGACTTGGTATCAAAGTCAACAAGCAGGACGGTGTCCCTCGGCAACTGAACTCTCCCCTCCAGAGGACTGGCACAGTTGGGGATCTTACGAGGCCCCAGGTCAGGATCTGCCCACCTCCATAGCTCCACTGTGCTGGCGTCTGACAACCAAACAAACTGTTAGCTGCTTAATACCTTTACAATGCAACATAGTGAAGAAGTAGAAATGATAGTAGTACTGATGGAATCAGCTACATGTTGTCAGCATGGAAGTATTGGATCTTTAACTACCTTAAGTAGTTCAGTGTTGATCCTGAAAATACAAAAATTACTAATTCTGGCAAATAAATAAATATAGGATGGAGAGGACACAGCTAACTCACCTGATGAAAGGTTGCAGATGAGTCAAAGAACACATAAAATCACACACATAATTTACTTAATATTTCGCCTCTTTCAGAGGCTTCTTCAGAAGTAGGCCTAGATGGTAGTTACAAAACAACAGTTTTCACGAAATATTAAGTAAATATTAAGTAAATTATGTGTGTGATTTTATGTGTTCTTTGACTCATCTGCAACCTTTCATCAGGTGAGTTAGCTGTGTCCTCTCCATCCTATATTTATTTATTTAATCCAAGCTAAATGCTTTTTCCTAAAAACATAATTCTGGCAAATGTAATCATATTCCTGCTTGAAAGATAAATTTGTATTAGACCTTACAGTATGCCAAGAAAAGCAAATTATAATAATCAAAATTATTAAAGATTAAAGCATTATTTAATTTTTTCATATTGGCATTACTGAACACAGTGGCGTTGCTTGGTTAAATTCCGGGGGGGTAGAAGCCTCAAATTTCCCAACTGCTTAACATAGATTTCCCATTTTTTTAAGAAATCAATTTCTGTACTATTTTTAAAAATCTACATATTATTATACAGGGTGACACAAAGGAACCGGACGTTTTTTAAATAAGTAGTACACAGTAGTTAAAAGGAATAAACTGGTTTTAATACTGTACATAGTGAGGTAAACATTTGCCATTTGTTACAAAACCGTCATTTTTTGAAAATGACGTCATGCATACGGCAGCCATGTACTTATCTAAAAATGTTCATTCTGGTCTGAAAATCCTCTGAAACTCGGGTCAGGAGGTTCAATGCCATTGATATCTTCTGTGATTGCAAACTTCAAATCCTCTAGAGTGCGTGGTTTTCTGAGCATGAACACGCTCCTTAAGAAACCCCCAAAGGATATATAATCACTAGTGGACAAGCCAGATGATCTTGGTGGCCATGGCATGTGACCAAAGCGAGAAATCACCTTGTTAGGAAACATTCATTCAATACTGCTCTCACTCTGGCGATGTTTTCGGGTGTTCTCGAAGTTTTAACAAGGCCTGGTGGTTGCTTTCTTGTTATATTTCCAGTTGTTCGGAACCCTGAAACCCATCTTAATAGCGTATTTCGGCTTGGAACCGTTCCATGGCGTTCAATATTAAAATGTCGACTAAATTCCCGCTGGATTTGACGACGGATTCACCATTTCGGACTAAAGTATTTTATGCAAAAACGCGATGGTCTAGGGTCCACTGACCCATTTCAACAAAAATGGCAAGCCTCACTGAAGGAAATGACATAACTTCAATCTTCCTACCACGTGCAACAACAATGGAACAGCTGTTTAAAAAAACGTCCGGTTCCTTTGTGTCACCCTGTACTATAGTCACACTCAATACAGTTTATTAACTTGCATTAACAAAACATAGCTAGTTTTACATATATACAAAATTTCTCAATTCAAATAAACTTCTAAAACTTCTACAGTTGAACCTCGTTTGTACGAACCTCGATAAAACGAATTCCTCGATAAGACGAATTTTTTTAATCCCCTTGACACTTTCATATTGGTCAATGCTAAAAACACCTCTATACAACGTAGTAATTAAGTTAAAAACCTCCATTAGACGAATTTGTTTGTGACATGGTCTAGAACTGATTAACCTCTATACAACGAATATTCTTAGGACAAAACCTCTACAAGACGAACGTAACCTCTATAAGACGAATTTATCATAAGCTTAACCTCCATAGTACGTAGTTTTCAAAACAAACACAAGCTTGTATCAACATGAAACCCCCACCCATCCCTCCCCCTTCCTCAGTCATTGTTTGGAGAAACCTTGGAGCGAGGAGAAACCTCTATAAGAAGAATAACAGCAGCATTAAACCTCGATAAATCGACCCTCTTTATTAAGAATACCTCTATAGTACGAATTTTTCCCGTACCCCTTGAAATTCGTCTTATAGAGGTTCAACTGTACCATAATCATAATGAAATTTTATGACTTAAAAAAACTTGAATAAGTATTGTTTCAAATCCAAAAAACTTTACAAACCATCGTGGTAGCAGACGTAGCAGTGTACAATTTTAGGTATATAAAATAAGCTTAGTACAACAAATTAGTATAGAAAAAATATTTTATTACAAAATAATGAAATTAAAATACTTTTAGAACTTGATATTAAGATCAACATTTTAACTTTCATAAAACTTACAACTAGGCCTAAACAAGTTTGTTATGATCAAATATTAATATCAGTGATGTGAATAACATTATTCTAGTCTAGAAAAGAAAAAAGAAAAAAACCTAAAATAAGACTCATATCAAATAAAAACGTTCAACTTGGTTGATAACAAACTTACACATACAATAAAAATGTTAACCTTCATCTTCATCAAACTAGAACTTAGACAAAAATCAAACTTAGACGTGAAAGTAAATAATCAAACTTTAGGTTATGTTTTGTACACGTAGATCTGTTTCAGAGTGATTAGTTGATTCATTTTTGTAAATCTTTAATTAAGAATGATAAATAACTTTTGTAGATTTTTTAAATATATTCAGAGAATAAATATTTCATTTAGGTTATTAAAAAATAAGAGTTTTAAAGGTAATACCGATACACAAAACCTATCTTTAATGTTATTTTAATCTACTTATTAGCAAGTACTCCTGTCAGTTAGCCTGCTCCAAATACTACAAAAAAAGATATAAAATATATTTTATGTTACTGAAGTGAAAAATATTTTTGAATTTCTTGTAAACACAAACAAACAACATAATTGAACTGAAGAGCTACATCGCTTGCACTTTCAAAATTCAAACTCGCAGTCTCGCAGACGAATCATTCAGAATCATCAACACAGGACAGGATCACAAACTATACCGCTAATTGATTAGTTTAAAAATATATTTTTCTTGTATCTGACTTCCCAACTGTCCCAACTCGTGGCAAGGAAATTCCCAACTTTTCTCTTTCCCAGATTCTGGGAGCCCCCTTACCCCCCCCCCCCCCCCCACCGCAACGACGACGCCCCTGACTGAACATGGTCTAAACCTGAATCACCCATTGTTCTGTTCTACTGAGCTAAGTTAAACCAAAGATGGGAGACCCTATATTTGTTAATTAGAATTATCAAACCTCATTTATTGTAATACCATATTTCTTGGTTCATTATTAATAAACTTGTATTGTAAAGTAATCCTTAAGATTTGCCAATTTTTATATTTTAATAACTTAGGCCTAGCTTAATCCAAAATGCAAAGAATAATAATAGGTAAAAGGTGGATGGAGAATCAAGATTTATCTGTCAAATTCAAAAGGCACTACCATTAACAATTTTGTATAACACCTGAGCCAATTGGGTAGTGACAGATACATTATTTTCACAACGTAGGCTAGCATTAGGCTACCATAACAACATACGCATCAGCTAACAAACTAGATTTTATTTTCCCAGAATCCATACTCACCCTTGATATTCTTGTCCTGGCGGGCCAGTGCCGTGGCTAGCTTGGCCGCAGTGTCGCCGTGTCTGACGGCCAGCCAGTGTGTCAGGTGACCACTCAGAGGCTGAGGGTTGACAAGCGCGAGCGGCACGCTCGGTGGCGGCGCTCGGAATGTGATGAACGGCGCTCCAGGACAACAATCCTCCTTCACATTGTCTGGCGCTCCTTCACTGGTTGAAGATGCGATCTCTATCTCCTCCAACTACAACAAACATCAAAGGCATTATTTAACTTGTATAGTGGTAATGTTGGGCATATTACTTATAACTAATAGAATAAATTCATTTCACAGTCAAAACTGTCATTAATTCTTTGGTAAATTATTAGTTATAGGTAATTTTTATACGTTTACATATTTTTATACGTGATCATTACCCAACCTTCACTGTCTTCAGCAATGCCGGATAACAACCTATGTATTGGTAATTAATTATTGTGTAAATAAATTTCTTGATTGATTGAATGGTTGAACACAGAAAATAAAAGTTGTTGTACATATGGTAAAAATAATTGATGAATCACGTACCTTTGTTGTCAAACCTGATCCTGGCTCTAAGTAATTGTCTTCCATTGAAACACTTACTTTTTTGAGTTGTTGGTTATAAATAGTATAAGATAAAGTAATTCTCCTTCAGTAAGCCCATTTCTGCCCAAAATAACCTTTTCAGATTGTTGAGTTAAAACATAAGTTAAACAATTCACACTATGCCAGAAGCCACAGTAGTAGGTATTCAAATTTTAAGCGGCCTACACACTACACGTGCATTGCACGCCGTGCCAAAAACTGACAAAACGTGCAAGTGTGTGGTGAACACCGTGCAAGCACGGCGTGCATTGGCATGGCACGGTGGAAATCAAAACGAGTTTGATTTTCGGCGTGCCGTGCCAAAGCACGCCGTTCCAACGTGCTAGTGTGTAGGCGATCCCCGTGCCACGTGCTGGTAGTTCAACCACTTTTGACAGGATTTGGCCCTATAATAGTACTTTCTTATTAGTGAATCAACGGCATTTTGTCTTGGCCATTTGCAACACAGATTAAATACGCACATAGTGGCGTCCCCATTTTAAATAATTGATAATTATTGATAATTATTGATAATTGATAATTGATAATTATTGATAATTGATAATTTATAATTATTGATAATTGATAATTGATCATTTGCACGACCATCGAGATTATAACATAATGGATCGCGCGCTGTATGTGATGCGTGACCCGAGACGCAGTCATAGATCTCTATATAATATATCATATGTATATATAATATACTATCATATGTATATATAATATACATCCTCCACCACAGTATTGTGAACCAAGTGCCCTGCCGGCGTATATCTGTACGGCAGCGAGGTGCAAGGTCTGGACTAACCTAGGCACTTAAGGCGGCTTAGTGCTGCTGCCTTGTGTCTATTTTTAATGATTAATCAATAATGTCTTTGAAAAACACGTGTGTGTTCTGCATTTCATTTGTACGAACAGACGATGTAATTTAGCACGTTGCAGGCTACACTGGAGATCAAGTGTGTGGGCAAAATGTGCCGTGCAAAGCACGTCGTGCCAATATAAAAAATGGCACGGCGTGCAATGCACGTGTAGTGTGTAGGCCGCTTTAAGAACATGGCAACAAATATAAATTGACAAAGAAAATTTAGGTTTCAAAAAGCGTAAAATTAAACATTTTGATATATATTTTAATCAGTTTCTGTGAGTACCCCTAGGACCACCCTTTTTACTGGAGGCCCCTCCTATGGAAAAGTCAGTGGGACGCCCATGCCCATGGGGGCATATTGCTGCAATTAGAGGAAGTGGTCATGATGTCTTTGCGACCAAGGCAGGCTGGGAATGTCAAGATATTGCCTCAATCACCAGTGGTGGTGATTTAGTTTTCATGGTTTTGGGGGAATTTGCATGGCTATGGAATACTTTTTTAAATGTGTATTACAACTATTGTATGATAACTACATTTCATTATATACATTTGTCATTAGAACTCTTTCCCTTAAAATTGTAATGTTTTTTTGTTTGTTTATAAAATGACTCAGCTGACCTTGAATTTTCAAGTTAGCAGAAAAGGAAATGGAGAATAATTTAACTACTAACCCAACAAAAATATATTAGTTAACATGATTGCCAACATCTAGCCTATAACTTTAAATTCATTCTTAATATAAGTCAATTCATTGAGTATGACTTGAATACAGGGTGATTGATATAAGTGTGCCAGCCGTTTTATTCGAAAACTATAAGAGATATCAAAAAATGTTAAATGGTAAGTGCCTTGGATTTTTTATTAAAAAAATTATAGTCAAGTCAAAAATTATTTTAGCCGCCATTTTTCCAATATGGCCGCCAACTTTGATTTTTCTTATGGAACACCCTGTATTTTATGATGTATTCTGGTAGAAAAGGTAATTTTAAGACAACTTTATTCTTGTGATTTTTTTCATAAACCTAACCGTTTCAAAGATAATAATGGTTTAAGTTGTGAAATTTTGAATGGTTTTCGAGCAAAACAGCTGGCATGCTTGCTTCGAAACTCTTTCTCATGCAGAAATTTCAAAACTTTAACCATTATTATCTTTAAAACGGTTAGGTTTATGAAAAAAATTACAAGAATAATCATCTTAAAATTACTTTTTCTACCAGAATACATCATAAAATACAGGGTATTCCGTAAGAAAAATCAAAGTTGGCGGCCATATTGGAAAAATGGCGGCTAAAATAATTTTTTTGACTTGACTATAATTTTTTAAATAAAAAATTCAAGGCACTTACCATTTAACTTTTTTTGATATCTCTTATAGTTTTTGAATAAAACGGCTGGCACACTTATATCAATCACCCTGTATATGTAAATACTGGATTGGTCATTTAGTGACCAAGTGACCAATGACAGTACACAAAGAACCCTGATAGGCCATTAAATGACCGATCAGCAGTTCAAGGGTTAAGTCATTTTGATTCTTAAATTTTCCAAATTTCCTTAAGTTAGCGTTGTATACTACTACTAATATTTATTTTACCTATTTTTTCACAGTAGATATTTATTATTATGTTTATTCAATAGTGTGTTCTGTGGTGAAGTGGGTAGGTTTAAGCCTATGTTTTAGAACATTAGATGATTGAATGTAATTTGTTTGCCACACACAAAACATTTTCCATGTGGGGAACATTCAATGTATTTGTCAGTTATATGTTATTTGTAGCTGTGTTAACATGACTTGAACAAAACTGCCTGAGGGTGCACATAGAAGTCTGGTACTGAGGTGTATTTTATGTTCTGCTCACATCAAGTGTGTACTCCAAGTAGTTCTTGTTGATGGTGAGGACGTGTATCTCGTCAAAGTCGAGTGTCAGGTTGAGAGCCTTGATGCCGCTGTTGGTGACCTTCTCTCTCGTCGCTTGTACAAACGGCATCACTCGCTTCATGTACTTCTTCAGCTCAGGCTTGGCCGACAGTGCCACTGAGATCACCTTGTTGTCAGGGAAACTTCCGTTGTTGGTCTAAACAAAAAGGAGATATGATTTTAGCATTTTATAATTTTAAAAAATTTAAAAAAGTTAAAGATACGTTTACAAAATGGTTTCCTCCATTGCCAGATTACTGTTTACCACTACATTACAAAATTATAACATCTAGTTATAGTATGAACAAGTGTGAAAAAAACTCGCAAGAACAAAAACTCTAGGTCTGTCAAAAATAGGGGTCTGCGGTACAGAAAATTTAAGGTCGGTACGGTTCGGTACGGTACAATATTTTGTACCTCAGTTCTCGGTACAAAATCGGTACGGTACGCGGCTACCCGTATTTTTGCGGTTTTCTTCTCAGAACTGTATCCAAACCATTATTTTTAACTTTAATACATAGACATTACTATGAAAATGGATAGTATCCTACATTCATGGTTTTCTAACAACAATTACTGTACCACATATTATTAAAACAAAACCTTTTACTACTACGAGGATTGTGTCAAGAAAAATCACAGTTGAGATAAAGGCTTTACCTATTTTACTCTGAGATACTTTGAATAGCATGATAAAGTAGTTTAAAAATAGGATGAGAGTTTTTATGAATAAACATGTTTGAAACATTTATTGACAAGATAATTTCACAAAACTGATAAATTATTTCCAACCAACACAATGTCTAGTTGTTTTTTTTTATTTTAAAAACATATAAAAGCATTCAGTAGAAGACAGTGTAGTTTTGCCAGCTGTTCACAGCAGATGACAATGAAAAACTGGAGGTTATGATGAAGTAATGGCAAAGACCATTTTTTTTATCAGCTTCAAAACTAGTTAAGTTATAAGATGGATAAAATTCTTGCAAAGTTTTTTTCTGAAACTAAAATTTGGATTATCACAGAGTAAGATTTGATGTTGGGCAATTAGACTTTATAACTGTGTAAAAGGTGTGTATCCCTGAATTTATAAATTGCATTCTACAATTATTCACTGCCAAACATAATTCAGTAGAACCTTGATGAACCGAGAATTACACTAGCCTACATAACTTCATTACCCCAAGTAAAATACCAAGATAATTTTTATAATTGTATTTGAATCGTATAATCTTAGTTTGTTAAAAATGGATTGTATGTTCAACAATAATTGCAGTCCATTATTGTTAAGCAGTATGGTCCCAAATTATTGTTTTTGATTTTGAAACATCACAGTTCATTTGACAAAATTATAGTTGAAGCAGCTCAATGTCAAGTCACGCACGCTTGTGCAATAGTTTGTTTACATGCTTTCTCCAGACCACGGGGGAGGGGAGGGTCTGATAAGCCGTCTATTGTTCACCCCCAAGAAGGTCCGACCCTCATTAGTGCCACTCGGCTGCACTCAGTGGGGAACCCAATACCACAAATCAATCTTTTAAATGAATACAAATATTTGGTAATAATTGTTTTATTAATATTCACCTTGAAATTTCAATAAATTTGGTGTAAAATTTGACAAAAATCTGCCATTTGGACCGATTATTAATACAATACCAAGTACCAATAAAGTAGTACCGTACATTCATTGGTAATTAAATAATAGTTAAAAATTTACCGATTTTCGTCAAGTTTTACCCCCTGCTGTGCGCTATGTCACAAAAGCTGATAACGATATGGGTGATTAGTAACCATGGCAACTTGTTGAATGCGTGATGAAGGGAAACCCAAGAAATAGAAGAACAAAGAGAAAGAATGCCGTTGTTATCTTTATACCCTTTTTACAATTTCCGTTATTGTTATCTTTATGTAAGATTTTATGATTTTGTTTTATAGGTTTATAAAATAATAATTCTTTTTAACTACGGGAATATCAATTTATAATTTATCAACGTGCTTCTCTTCTGAAACAGCAATACCGGATGCATAATAAAGGTCAATGGCCTAAAATATCACGATTGTGCAATATTGTATTTTGATGTTGAAATTAAAATTACGACAAAAGTTTGTATATATCCATGGTCGTCAATAAAAAGATAAAATATCCATAACAAATATTTAATTTATAAAATAAGATTGTAGATTTGTTACAAGTTTAATATGTAGCCATAAACAGTTTTATGGCAGTAGGCAATGGCCAGCGGCAAATTCAATATTCACGAAAATACTGATTAAGTTAGAGATAACATTTAACAGTCATCATAAAACTATTATTTTTATGATAAAACAGAATTGGGGAAAGTCGTAAAGAAATAAAAGTGATAAAACTCAACAGTTCTTGGAAGTACTTCAATACAACAATTATTGTCGTGATAAAATGTTAATGGATTTGGGACTGCTAATGGGTTTTTTATTGCATCATCAAGCTAGTAATAAATTATGAAGATCGTAAACAAACATCTGATAAGACTTTTATGTGCTCGGAACCAACTGCCGTTGACTACGATAGTAAATTGAAAGTAATTTATTATTATAATAGGCTGTACCGAACCGAATTTGTACCGTGTAAAATGCTGTACCGAACCGATGACGGTAATTAAGCTTGTACCGTACCGTACCGACTTTTTCGGTGCACCGCAGACCCCTAGTCAAAAACCAGTTACTGATTCACCAAAACTGATCATTAATATGTTGCCTACTAGGCATCACACTCCAGCTGTATGAGTGGTCTCGTGTCCCTGGTAGTGAATGTGTTAAGCTACTTAATGATAGTTTCACGTGGAAACTTTTGAGTGTGCCGATGTTGACTAAATATAACCACGTGTGTTTCATAGCAAAAATATAGAGTAATATTGATCTTATGTTAATGAGAGTTAAAAAAAAAACAATTTTAATAAGCGGTTTTTAACGAATAAAGCATATTATTAAATTCATGTTTACGGAAAAGTTGGCAATTATCAACAGAACACGAGGTTTACCAAACATCTTTTTGATGATAGTATCATGTTGCCAACACACTTGATAAGCCTAAAGTAATTTTTTATGTTTTTGTTTTACAGTACAAGAAAATACCTAATTCAGGGTTTTGAAAGTTCTTATTGTGGACAGTTTCAGAATGCATAAAATATGCTTAATTTTGTAGAAAAGGAAGACGAGCAATAAATGCCCGAAACGCAAGAACAACTACTTCTGGCAATGTTTTGAGATAGTTGAATGTAGAATACTTGCTTAAAAACAATGCTTTTCAATATGTATGTTAATTTTACAAAATTTTAAACAACAGACCTTATAAGGTATGGTAAAAACTATCTGTGTAATTCTCTCAAAACAGACCAGTCTTTAACAAATTACATCTTCTAATCATATGCATCCATGCAGGATTATTTCTGCCTGAATTGCCAATCTGGCCAAGGTAGGTATTTCACTCCGTTGACAAGAATGGATAGAAAATTGCCGTATTGTTTCGAATCGAGTTGCATCGATTCAAATTGAAAATCTTTTGAATCGAATTGAAAATCTTTTGCTGCTTCGCACACCCCTAATAATTGTGATCTGAGACAAATTGCTAAGTTAAATTATTTTTTAGGAAAAAGCATTTAGCTTGGATTAAATAAATAAATATAGGATGGAGAGGACACAGCTAACTCACCTGTACAGCTAATGGTGAGTTAGCTGTGTCCTCTCCATCCTATATTTATTTATTTAAGTTAAATTATTGAAATAAGATGTAACTTATTATATCTACAAATGTTGTTTTAGTTTATTGTTTTATTAAAAACCATGAAAAGTGATCTCAACTAGCTTTCACTGCTATGAAAGCAATCCTAGTCATTAAGTCCATTGAAAGATAATGCACTGTGAGGGACTAGAAGGAATCATTGGCCCTTGACATGTGTCTGTAGTTATGGGCATTGATGGATGGGTTTCCTGTATAGTTCAGGAAACAATGATTTAGAGAAAGTTATTCTTGATATTGGTAACTGATCTCTTGGTTCAAGAATGTGGAGTTTTTTTTAAAGAGGCCTCTTCTACAAGTGAATACTTGTGGAGGTCTGTTGTTACGAGTCACAGACTTGGTAACATCGATGAGCCTCGGATGTGAGGTGGTAAAGTTGTCTTTTTTTAATATCTACAACTACAGGTTGTTTTGAGGACGAGTATAATGGTTGTCTTTTTTGGCCTTGTTGAGCATAAATGGCATTTAATTCTTAAAATAATTTTAAGCACTTAATGACATGCAAGTAAGGAGAAAATTTAGTATAAATATAGTCATGGGAGGATTGATTTATGAGGTTATTTGCAAGTGTGTGTCTAATGACTAACCGTGTGCATCTCCTTCATGGTGGTAAGCACGGTGGACTGCCAGGGCGGATAAGTCTTGGCCACCCAGACAGTGGCGTGGGTGGGCTTGTCTCCGATCTGGTCAGGCGGAGGAGGCTTCTTGCCCTTCTTGCCTGAAGTCAGATGGTTCTTGTACTGCAGACGGAATGAGTGAGCCGCTTCCATGAGATAGGCACTGGAGCGAACCAGCGTTTCATCTACCGGACCTGCGACCGGCCAATCTGCCCGCACTATACTGTTGGTCTGGAACATCGAATGGAAACATAAAAAACTTTGTCTATGTGCAGCAGTAGCTTGTAGAGTAAATAACATACCTGTGTATCCTAACCATTTAAAATTTACTTGATGGAATAGAAGGCTCACCTAAATGGGGATAAAAATTAACAATATGTACAAAATTATTTAAATGATTTACTGTCACCCACAACAGGATATTTAACCAAGGAAGGTTCCATCTTGGTTTTTGAAACATTCCTTCATATAAAACATTGTCAAATTCAAGTACGCTACTTGTCAATTCTTGAAAGGTTTTATTTACTATGTATGGTAGTAGGGTAAATATTTGGTTTTCATTTGCCCAAATGGAATCCATCCCATTCAGGTAGGCTTGCGTTACCAACAAACATTCTTAAAACCTTGGCCCTTTGTGTCCTTCTTGCATCAATAAAACTATTTAATACGATGTTTTAGTTGATTTGAACATTAAGTCTAAAATGCCAAAAGAAGTACCACAAACTAAACTTTATGGTCTATATAGGTGAAACTTAATGCACAAGTTTCTTCTTCAACCATATTTTTTTATATAGGTAGCTATAATAAATAATATCTTCTAGGCCTAGATAGATGTGCTTTTAAAAATTTACAACTTATTTTAGATCAGTAAAAACCTAACCTTTGCCTTCATTGGAACAGAATTCAATGGATCAAGGCTTAAATATTTTTATCATTTATACAAGCAAAAGCAGAAGTAAGAGACATGATTATCTCTTGATTGTAGCAAAATACCTTTCCAATGAGAGAGTAGACGTGCTCAGCCACATGTGGACAGATCGGTGACAACAACAAGGCTTGTAACTCAATAAACCTGTAACATGTTTAAGAGATCAGACTTACAGGTGGATTTAGTTTTATTCAAAAACATCTTAAATTTTATATTACACAGTAGAAAACTCATAAGAGAAAGTTTGACATAAATGATATAGATTGGCAAAGTGTTAACTTTTAGTCCATTAAAATTCTTCTTTCTACTCACATGTTTCACTGGGAGGTAAGAATTAGAATATTGCTCCCTCATGATTGAAACTCTTACTTGCAAGACATATTACAAGTGTTTCTCCGTCTTTTGGACTAGACACCACTGTGTAAAATCACCAACATTGTATGATGGCATTTCAGCCCTGTTGCATATAGCCATATTCAGAGATGTAAAGTCGCATGATCTGAAGATGGCCATATGCAACAAAGCCAAAAAGTCATGGTTGTACATTAATAGCGTCAAATAAATTAAAACTAATACTTAAAACTAAGATAAAGCCATTTTCAATTCATCTAAAGAGTATAAGGACAAGAAGGACAAGTCCATTAAATAGGCCTTAAAAGGTATTTTTAATACTGGGTTTTAGTTCTGTTTTAATTTTAAAAGGAATAAATTTTAAGATAAAATCACGTCCTGCATTGACAGTCTTTTTCTTTAAGAGCTCTAATTTATGATTTCTATTACACAGTTAGGCCTATTTATATAACATGTATTATAGTTACAATTGTTTTCTTTGTTTGGTGGATTGAAATTTTGTTCTTGACAAACATAATAGTCGAGGACAATTAAACCGTAAACAGTGAGGGTTCTTAAATTCCTTGTCGGCTAAACTCACATTCTAGCGATTCAATCCTGTATAATGTGCTGTTACCTGATGATAAGTTGACGATGCATACCACCGCTGACCTGACAGAGCTCTCGGTACTTGTCTCTCACAAGCTGCATTTCAAAGAAGCCAGTCCTCAGTGCCTCCTTGAACAACATCTTGTTGTAGTTCTCATCCGTTTCCTTGATTTTCTGGTTCATCTCACTAAAACACAACCGCAACTTGTAAACAAATCACTTTCTTTGTAGATATTTGATAAGATTATGAAACAGGTTATAATGTCAAGGGAAAGTGTTTGAAAATATTGTGCAAGTAGGCTGAATGTGTTGTTGGATTATAAATTGTTGTGCTGACTGACATAAGCATTCCACTTCTTGACCAGTTAAATAAGGTCAATATATTTGATCTGGAGATCAGTTGACAAGATGACCACAATAATCTACACCATTACAATGCAATATGCTGTACAAATCTTAAACAATCCGTGGTCTTACTTGAGTGGAGTAAGGACAGTTATTTAGTGTTGGCATATAAAACATTCAACTGACTTCCAGTCAAAGTCCACAGATTAATCATCATAACCGCTAAAAGAGAGAATTACTTCCAGGCTTTTAAGAGCTTGAAGAATCTGTAAAAAGTTATTACATTTTCTTAATATTGGCCTAATTTCCCCAAATAACATTGAAAATTGAAACAATGTTGACAAATATTAAGACAACATAATCAAGAAAATTTATTTTTATATCAAGAAAACGTTTTAACAATATTGTTACCAAGTTGATTAGTAATGGGGCAATATTGAACTAACCTTGTTTCAATGTTGATAACATTGAGACAATATATTTATGCTAGCATCCAATAGTGACCAAACTATACCGATCATAAAATATCTGAATCGGAACCTCCCAATATCCAATCCGAATCGAGCCTTAACTAATCAACCTGAATCTGATCCAAAATGAAATTTCACTATCCACACACCTCAGGCAGGACAAGATCTGTCCATATAACCTAGGGAAGGATTGTACTGTTTGGTGTGATATGTAATAGCCTTATCCAGTTGCTTACTTATCAATACCAACTGAACCCACTTTAGGGTAAATGCAAAGTATGAATGAAAGGGCCAAATATTGAAGGACATCCCCAGTCTGGGGACAACCATAGAAGAAGCAAGATATAAAATGATAATGGGGGTGAATTGTTGGCAAGGCTGAAAACCTCTTGACACATTAGATGCTGCACATTTGCCATATTGTGCACGCTTGGAGCTGCTCAGGCAGACGGTGACCTGGTCAGTGAGTCAAACCTATGGCTCTACTATCTCTTTGAATTTTTTTTAATGGAAGAAAATTTAGAAATGTGATGATATAAATTAACTTAATTTTATTTTCTATTAATTTTCATAGCAAATTTGAGGTGAGTAGGTGAATTAGTGAATAGAATTTTTACTTGTTTCTATCTTATACTATCATATTAATACCTAACGAGGTGTTAGCCCGTCCTACGTACGGGAATTCAGTAGTCAGTTAAAACCGTGTACAATTCAGATCAGCTAGTTTACACAAACAAAGGCAAAGTTTCTTGCAGTTTTAATGTGAAAAATCATGTTGTAAACACATGTTTAGTGATCAAATATGTTTTTATTCCATCATAGGCCTATACGATATGCATTTTAAATCCGATAATTTTACAATAAAACAGCAATTCTGCAATTTTTACGATGTTAAACGCGTTGAAGTGAGATTTGCAGCCGATTCGCACAGACGCACACTGATTATAAGTAGCCTACAGTAGAGAGAGAAATAGTCAATTGAGAAGTGTATAGACCTAGTCAACGATACCACCTTCCATAGCATACATGCCTCTTCCATAATTATTATCACCACACTACAACTACTATACACAATTTCCAGTAGGTCTGAATAGAAAAGACCTAAAACAAAACGATAGTATCCAATAAAATTCACAGTACACATAATTTAACTTTGGTGTCCTAACATCAAAACTAATCGTCACACCTATCCTTTATATTAATTTCACTGCATTTAATTGCTAAATAAATAAGCGTAAACAAAGAAAAGTAAAAACAATAACAGTTTGTTTTGAAACAGCTGTTTGGTTTAAATAACATTCATTTGAAAAAAAAAACCGGTCACATGTAGCAGGAATATAAAAAGTAAACACGCTAGTAAAGCTAATGACGTAATTGTCAATGTTTATTATCCATACCATTATCAGTTCTATCCTTGATAATTACCCACCCTCATTGAATAAATGTACATCGTAATTTCCCATATTAGTTAATTTAAACTACAATATATTCTTAGTCGAAATAAAAGTGATATTTTCACGTTTGGGGGCGCTGATATAGGCACCCCCAAACGTAACCACAACTGAACACGATTTCATAAAAAGGATGGTTTGTCTAATTGCAGTATCCTAGGTCAATGTTGGTGTTGTGTTCAATCTATGTCATCCATCTGTTTCTTTGTATAAAACCCGGCTGAGGTTGTGGTGGTAATTTAAAATCGTGATTCCTGATTATTCTTGATCTTCTTTGAATGACATCAATATTTCCGGGCCTAATCCAAACAAAGTTAAAGCAGACAAACATTAATTGTAAACAAAAAGCTACCATGAAGAATTAAAACATGTAAACATTGTTATTTGTCTAATCTTTCCTTGAAAAGTGGAGCAGTAAAATAATTTGCTTTTATCCTTTTTTATTAAGTCTCGTGTACAGAGCCTCGATTTGTACTGTGGTTTAATTAATTTTGGTTAAAACTGTGGTCTAATTATCTCTACTAATCTTACTTATTTCCTATAATCAATGACAAAAATAAAATAACCTCATAGTTCCATAGTTTATATGTAACCAGCTGTTAGTTAAAACAAATTATATTGCTATAAAATAAATCGAAGATTACAAAGATTGCTTTAAAAATAATTTGAACATCCTAGTATTTTACTATGTATATTTCATTAATCTCTCATCCTCCTACAGAAGAATTGAACGTATCAATGATTAGCATTACACATAGTATAAATAAGTCAACCCTAAGTATGTCTTTACATTTTTATCCAAATGCTGAATTTGTGACACAAAAGCTGAATGTTTACAGCTGTTATGTTAAGCAAATTATTTAATGCCAAAAGCTAGTTTAGAATCTTAGCGTCGGCTGCTAGACTTTTTAAAAATTAAAACTTAATTTCTAAAAAACTGGGACCCTAAACTAAAATTATGGCTTCGACATTCCCTAGTTTTCAAAATTATCTTTCTTTCAACACAAAAATCGTGAAAATCCGTCGAGTGGTTGATTCAGAATCGTGAAATAAAAAAACACACTTTCGTTTTAATATTATAGATTACATAATTCACCTTAGTTACAAGAAATATTTAGAGTAGTAACATGACCTACAATATTATTATTTTCCGTCTTAAAATTTAATGTATCAAAGAAGAGTTAAGTGGGTTATTTTAGTTTATTTTTTCGTTCCATAAGATGAATTCCAAGCCGTGATGTTTCTTATAGTTTCTAATTGTTTAATGAACAGTGATATTGTCTACAGAATCAAATGAATTGGTGAGAATTCAGATCAAATTTACTGACAGGTTGTAATTGTAAACAAACTTACCTGAGGAATACAAGATCGTTGAATGAAGTAGCCTGTCCAGTGCGGTATGTGTTTTCTGTGTGCATCACTTCTTTAACCCACTCAATGAAGTTGTACAGTCTAAGGATACCTGCAAGAATTAATATGGCAATTTGAATATTTTAAAATGTAGATGTAAATGTAGATGGCCTACAACTTATCTTTCTGTTTTTGTGGTGAGGAATTGATAGTAATGTTTGTTGCTGGCTTGCATGTTTAATTTGATTGTTTTAGGTTAAGTCGTCAGATCGTAAATTAGTAGAAAAATACAAAACAGTTACAATGTTTAGGAGGACAGTTAACATCTTATGTTTTCATATTGCTACTACAAGGTGGGTTAATTGTATCATTGACTTTTAGACACAGGGTTCTATTCATAGTCAACGGCTTTATTGTTAACATTAAGAGCACCATTGCACATAAAAACTACACCACTATGATAGTATGAAACTGAAAATTATCCTTTTATTTGTTTGATGAAGCAAAAAACAGACACCTGAGAATACCTGACATTAAGAGGAGTGATGAAGCTGTGGTAAAAACAAATATGGAATGAAACTTTAGATGGAAGAAGACCCTCTGGATTCCCAAAGAAAAGGTGGGATCAAAATACAAGAGAGGCTAACCGAATACATGAGATTGCTTTGTGAGGACATTTCTCATCACTGTTGGTAAAAAAGGTTGTCACGATGTTTCAGCCCTTAGATAACACATATATAATGTCAAGTAAACTCATCAGCACAAAAAAAAGAACCTTTTAAACAGAGTTCACAGAGCCAGTGATGAACACAGAGGATCGGAGGAATTGAAGGCAGTTGGTTAACGAGGCCAAACACTTTCTTGGGTATTAAAACCTTGTAAGGGTAAGTTCTAAGTGGTAAGTCACATTTTTTATAGACTTGAATAATTTTACAAATAATTTGTATTCAATGTATTTTTTTATAATCAAATAACACACCTATTTGTTTATTCAATATTTTGTCACCAGGATTGATGCATCTACAATGATAAACCAGGTTAGATGTCTTATTGTCATCAACCCACAGATTGTTACATAGCAGAGGGTCAACACAACAAGCTATGTAACCTACTTTATCGTTGACTTCTCTTAGATCAAATTGTAAGTGTTTAAGTCCTATAAACCAAAGTATTAGTGAATAAAAAAAAACACAATTTAAAGATTTTCTCAAAATAAAATTTAAATGTAAATGTTGTAAGTGTTAATAACAGTTGTTTTTTCTGTTTATAATAGGTTAGGTTAGGTTTTCTCACCTGCATCTGCAGTGCTCTCGACAAAGTTTGCGTCTTCAACAGAGTCTCCGGAGTCTGCCAGACACAGTCGCATCCCGTCTGCACTGAACTTGTTAACGGCATCTGTCAGTGTTAGGAAGTTACCTTCCGATTTGGACATCTGTATAAAACAATCATGAAGATTTATGAAATCTGCAGTAACAGTATATCTACATTTATTGTATTTCTATTATTTTACTGAACAAAAATTGAAAAGAACAGTATATCGTCTCAGTTGCATATTGGATATAAAGCTTGGCATCAAATCTAAAGGTTGCTGGTTTTATTTGGTTTATTTGGACCAAATAGCCAATTTTCATTGATACTTTCTAAGTAACAAAGTACGAGGGTCGTCTCAAAAGTAAGTTACACCTATTTCCAAAATAAATAAAAAAGCCAAATTTGGTTTGAAAAGGGTATATTTTAAAAGATACATACATAGACTATTTTTCTACGTAGTCGCCATCTTTTTCAAGGCATTTTTTATAACGTGGCAACAGTTTTTTTAGTCCAGCATCATACCACTCTGCCGCCATTTTGGTTAGCCCTTGTTCCACCTCCCGTTTCAGTTCGTCTTCGTTTTCGAAGCGCTTCCCGCCTAAATGCCGCTTCAACTCCGGGAAGAGATGAAAATCACTTGGAGCCAAGTCAGGAGAGTAAGGTGGATGGCCAAAAACATCCCATCGGTGTCAATGACCTTGCGGACATCTTCAACAACTGTCAAAGCGCGGGAAGTGGACGGGCGGCCACTTCGTCGTTCATCGTGTAACGATTTTCGTCCATCAATAAACGATTGACGCCAGCGGGAAACCATTGGACTAGACATCACATTTTCACCATAAACACTTCACAATTCTCGATGAATTTCGATCGCATTTTTATTCTTTGCAGTCAAAAATCTAATTACTGCACGGATTTCACAATTGGCGGTGGGAACAAGTGGTGTCTCCATGATGGCCGGAGCGATACTGGAGGGGCGAGTGCCGTAGGCGGCCGCGACCTTTACAGTGTTGCCACTACATCCAGATGAAAATTCCCCGCGACTCCCAGCTTTCTAGCGCTCGACGCTGTGATTTAAAACAAACTAGTGAACCTGTGCGGCTCAATGCCCCGCAAAATAACATATGAATTTAGAAAACAAATTCATCCTGTTATTAATATTGACTCGACGTCGAAAATTTAATACAGTAATAATAAAGCCTTAGAAGGGAAGCAGTCCAGTCATTTTCTAGCTGTATGTGTATTATATTTAGTATATTAATAAGTGTTCAAGTTCAAGTGTGTTCCTAGTTATTTGTTAAAGATTTTAAAACACATTTAACAAAACATTTTATCATATCAAACCAAAAGGCCTATGAAGCATATTTTGAGGGTCTTACAATGCTGTTTGAAGAATATACTTTTAAAAATAAACACTAAAAAACAATATTTTTATCACAAAAGCACTTCCACGAATACTACGATTTTAGTCTTAAAGTTACCTTCAGGAAGATTACCCTGGTCAGAATTTTCCGTAATGAATATGCGTATCCTATTAAAAGATGTAGCCTTACTTAAAACAACATACAATATAGTTGCTCATGACTGAAATTGATCTGGGTAAGAACAGTGCTGATCTTTAAATAAAGGGTTTGTGCTGCAAATGCCAAAGATAACATAAATTAGCATCTTTCCATTTTAAAAGGTAACTTAAGTTTGTTTCAGACGGGCACATTTTTATCCTCGAAATCAACATATGTCCCCACTTACTTGTCCCGGTTAAGACTTTACATTCTATTAAGCTGTTAACCATTCTGATCACATGAAGCCTTGTGCCATTAATGAGGCCCTTTTGATGTATTAATATTCCACATCAATAAAACCACTGCCCCCTTTTATTAGTCTAATCTGAGTCTTGGCAATACACTGACCTCTATATTTAAAAACTCAGTTGGATTTTCTGATGGATGTCTCCGCCTTTGTCTGTTTTCGAGGACCCACTCTTCTTCCCCTTGCCATACTGACAGTTAATTACCTAACTTGTCAAGTTCATGTACTAATTCATTAATACTGTTAGTTTATAAAGAAAATTAGATAAAAGTTACTTGCCTCGGTGCTTTCATAACTGCAAACTCAAAATACACCCAGAAGTAAAAAAGACTCAAGTTATTGGTAAAAAAAAACTATGTTTGTGTAACAACATTATTCACATGAAGTAGATGATTTGTTTGATTTGTCAATCAGCTGTTTTATTTACATAAAACGATTTAATAATGTCAAAGATTTGTGAGTTTAAATACATAAACTATTATAGTAAAGTTTTCTAAATCATGGTAACTTATTCTCAACTAAATTTTACTATTCCCAACATTAAAATAAAGTAGGGCCTATTAAGATCCATTATGGGTAAACTTTAAGGTACACAATCCTTGATTGAAATGTAGTATACATTAACAGTCATAACACACAGCAATAAATTATTATGTAGTAGACTTTGACTATTTTCAAGTAACAAACATATGTTTCTGTAAATAAAAATCATCTCCCATGTTATCCTTATGGAGAAATGTGAAACTTTAAAGGGCCTCAGGGCCTCACTCTCTAATTATTTCCTTAAAAAGAAAGTTTCCTGCACAACTTCACGTTACGCTCTTTCCAATGACACCAAAAACATGACAATCGGTTCAGTAGTTTCGGAGGAGTAATTGTCACAAAATATCTGCTTGCGTATTAAATAAGTATAGATGTGTAACTTACTTTTGAGACGACCCTCGTATTTTACCTAACATTTCTCTTCAGTATACCCTCTGAGATTAAGTCCTAAAATAAGACAAAATAATTATTATGTGTGACAGTTTTTCATGATGTAATAAACCCCTGTACTCCAAGGTACTAAGCTACTCAAATATACTCCAAAATAGTGTCTGAATCCAAATTGATATTGAATTTGAGGATTGCAAGTGGGAAGGTAGAGGAGGACCTTTGCTGAGTTGAGCAGAAGATGTCCGTTGGCTCTGATTCCTCTGGGCCAGAACTCCTCGTGGTTCTCCCAGATGGCGCAGTGGATGTAGATGAAGAATGTCAGGTGGTTCTAAAATAATAATAATTAGATATTGCAAATTCAAAGAAATAATCAGCAATCAAGATAGTTTAAAAAATATTTCAAACGTGAATTTGGAAAACTGTTTCTTGTTTAAGGTGATGATTTTATAGTATCTAGGTGGATTTGGTGAGTTGAATTAGAAAGTAGGATTCCAGGTCAAAAAAGGCTGACAAATCTTAGTATTGTGGGAGATGAGTCTGTCGCACAGATAAAATACTGGCGACGTTTCAAATGAGTTACAGCAATCCATCCAAATCGTTGACCAATATTTTCTCCAGTTAAATGAAATGTTAATCCTTATTAAAAACCACGATTGGAAAGAATAGAGTACTCGTAATTTCACTCTAGAGATTATTTTATGTCTTCACTTGCCTGTATGAGATCCTTGCCGGAGCAACGAAGGTCCACCGGGTACCAGTATTGGAACTCCCGCTTCATCAACTCCAGACTCGGCCGCTTGATAGTGGTGTCTGATGGGAAGGGAGCCTCTGGAAGGAACACATAGTCCCACACTGCAGGAGTCAACTGCTCCGCCCTGGGCAACATTACACTTCATTAGTATTGCCAAACACTTGGTTTGATTGAGGGTGATCATCTAGAAGACTCACAAGAACCTGAATGTTGAGTCAAATGCACCACTCCTCTGAGAAAAATCTCTGATAATCTTACTGATGGTATATTTCTGAAACTCATTATTAAGGCAGGGAAGTACTTTGAGTACATACGTTAGCGCAAAGTATGAATGCAGGGAGCAGAACGGGGTGAGGCTTGTTACAGACTAAGATCGGCTGTGTCTTTAGTCTGAAGTTTTTCCTATAAGTCCAATGTTTAAGGAAAGCTCAAAAGGTTCAAAAGGCTACTGACTTTTCTTCTTATTGAACCAGCCACCTTCAAAATATAAGGCGAGCAATATAACCACTCAGAAACCATGCTTTAAATACCAGAGTCAAATGCAGTGAAACTAACAAAGTCTAAAATCTGTTCCCCAACTTTTGAAGTCCTAATTTCCCTTTCAGAATTCTGTAAAGGCCTAGTTACTGTAAAACATTAAGGAGTATCAACATTATGTTCAGAGCCTAAGAGTAACTCTTTGGACAAAGAACCTGAAATTCTAACCAAATTAATGGTGTTACAAAGAAGAACTACTAAGAAAAATGTATTAAGATTGTTGTTACACTTCAATAAAGAAGTCAAAGGTATGATGTACCTATTAAATTGCTGGAAAAGACTCTATACAACTATCCTTGACCTGTAATTTAAGAAGTTGGGAGTTCTACATGTCCTATTGGGAAACAACTACCAACTTTATGTGTTCTAGTTTTAGCAATTTTAGTATATCTTTTTAATACTTAATGATAAATATGTTTAATTTTTGTTGTTTTGATACCAACTTCTAGTAGAAACCCACAACAGCATAGAATGCTTCGTGTTCTAATGACTAAAACCATGTTGGCTCCAAACTGACTGTACACTATTGTTACCAAAGTTTGATCAATGAAATGACAACATACTTGATTTTGAGCTGGTTTCCTTTCTCTCCCTTGAAGGTCCCTCCCTGTAGGAGATGAGCCACAGTGTAGTAGGCATTGTAGATGGTGGAGTCTGATAAGGACTCTATCAGCCACTGCTCGTCCCAGGGCAGCTTGGTGCCTACAAAACATGAGATTAACAATAACATATGTAACACAAGTCTACGAGTGTTAGTAGGAGAAAAGATTTGAGTACTCGCTAAAAATAGAACATGAAAAAGAAGCGGCGAAAGACAAGTTTGTGCATGCAGTATACTTTGCACTCTGCGCCAAAAGAGAAGAATTGCAGATTTAAGATTGTGTCATAATGAGTAAGAGCTATCTTTATTCATGTTATATACATCTATATAATTAATACGCTACACGAAACTTTGTCGGTTGAACTCCTCCGCTATTTCTTAACCGATTTTATCTATTGACGTCTTATTGGAAAGAGCGTGTCACGTAGATTTGCAAACTGGCCTTACATTTTTGAAAAAGTCCCTTGGGCTCTGCCCCAGTGGCTTTGAAAGTTCCCATGTTATCCTTATGAAGAACATAATTGTTTAAATTTTGATCAGCTGTATAATTTAAATGTTATTTATTTTTCAATTCAATGAAACCATATGAAACGCATTGAGTACATTTATTTACTATTTGAGTTTGTGTAAACATAACCCCTTAAGACGGATCGTGTTAGTATGGTTGTATCTTAGATTTGTGTATTTGTCATTGTTTTGTGTCGCTATGATGGGTCGTGTTAGTATGATTGTAACTTAAATTTGTGCATTTATCGTTGTTTTGTGTTGCTATGATTTGTTTATTTGTTGTTTTTTCTTTTAAATGCCTCCGACGTGACGACAACGAAACATAGACATGAGGCGTAATCGTGATAACGACCGCAGCTACAGAACGCTGGCGCGTAATAGGCTTAACTCATCACAGTCAGCACCTGACCCTGGGCAATCTCAACTATTAGGTTACAAATGCGCCCTTAGCACTAACCCAAAACGACTTTTCGTTCTCAATTGGCTCTCTATCAATGACCTGTGTTGCACGTACAGCGAGGGATTTTGAGAAGGAGAAAACCGGCCGGAATGCTTTAGGTTTATCAATAACGAAGATAAACATGGTCTGAGTTACACATCAGTAATCTTTGAGTTGACTCTTAAATTCATTGTAAATATGACTGTTATTCGTTTTTAAATAACTGCAATTGCTCGAATTCGAGCAACATGTACACTAGTATTTTATTAATAGGGGTTATTTTATTTTATTTTATTAATAGGGTAAAGTAATAAATTAGTGTATTTTTTGTACAATCCTCTACAATCAGGAGGATGCTAGGACTAGGCATTATGAAAACTAGCTTTTACCCACGGGCTTCAACCCGTTTGACTTCATAAGTATTATGAAAAAACTATTGATAAAAGTTAAGCTGAAATAAACAAAACAGAATACAGCATTACTAGTCAGGTTGGGTAGCAGGAAAATATTTCAGTTCTGGCAGAGAGGCTGCAATTTTATCAATTATTCAATCAATTATCAATTATTTAAGATGGGGACGCCACTATGTGCGTATTTTAACCCAAATATGAGTGAAGGATGAGTGTAGGATGAGTGGCGCGATCTTGTAGTCTTGTTAGTGACTAAGGCCGACATGTTCCTTAGACACAGGTGGTTATAGTATACAAGTTTCTGAACCTAAATACCACCCAGACCCCAATTTTTAAGGACCTCGGTCATCCGTAATGACGTCATCAAAATGGCGGCCGTAAGAGGATGCTGGGTCCCCATGAATTGGCTATAATGACCGAATGCCTGAACCGATTTTCATGAAATTTGGCACACAAGTGCTTGAATACATTATGTGGCCTGGGTTGAAAATGGTCAAGTTTCATCAAGTCATTTCAAAATGGCAGCCATTCAAAACTAAAAAAATTATGAGGAAAATAATTGTGAATTGTTTTATACAGGGTGAGTTTTAAATGAGTTCCCCCCCTACTTTTTTATACATTTCTTAAGATATCAACTCCGAACCACGTCAGATAATTGTAGAGTAGCGATTACTTCATTTCGACTAGTTTTTATTTTATCCGTTTTTTGTTATCAAGCTTTCTTGATAAAATTTATAACAATTATTTTGATTTAAAATGTCAATATTTCAAAAACCAAACATGACAATGAAAAACGGATTGCGGCATTGAATTCAACATAAAAAAGTAGTTCAAAATGATGGGTCACAACACCACCTTCATATTTAAAATAATTTATCACATTTCAAAATGGCGGATCCAAGATGGCGGCTGAAATAAATACATCTGTCATAACCGAGTGAAAATAGGTCAACAATGAATGGTGGTGTCCACTTATCTTTATCTAGCACTATTTTGAGATTATGGCCTTAGTTTGTAAATGCACAATGTTATAATGGACTAAAAATAAAGTTATAAAAAGTTCTCATAACTTTAGAATGGATCAACATTTTTTTTTACGAATTGCAGCATCGTATTCAGCGTAAAGGTTTTGTTTGAAACGGTGGGTCACAACCCTATCTTTACATTTAAAAAAATAACTTTGTATCCAAAATGGCGGATCCAAGATGGCGGCCAAAAATGTAAACCCAGTCAAAATGAAGTACTTGCTACTCTACAATGATCTGACATGGTTCAAAGTTGATATCTTAAGAAATGTATACAAAAGTAGGGGGGAACTCATTTAAAACTCACCCTGTATAAAACAATTCACAATTATTTTCCTCATAATTTTTTAGTTTTGAATGGCTGCCATTTTGAAATGACTTGATGAAACTTGACCATTTTCAACCCAGGCCGACATAATGTATTCAAGCACTTGTGTGCCAAATTTCATGAAAATCGGTTCAGACATTCGGTCGTTATAGCCAATTCATGGGGACCCAGCATCCTCTTACGGCCGCCATTTTGATGACGTCATTACGGACGACCGAGGTCCTTAAAAATTGGGGTCTGGGCGGTTTTAGGTTCAGAAACTTGTATACTATAACCACCTAAAATTGCAGCCTCTCTGCCAGAACTGAAATATTCTGCCACTATATGCAGCTATACGACCCCACTATACAAACAAATAATCACACCAGATTTTAATAAGGTAATAAATTGAAAGAATAACATACAAATAAGAACAGCTGAGGTATTTTTAACATTAAGTATATGGAAAGTTCCCTTTGGAAAGCAATTATGACCTTAAAGGGCAATTTATGGAAAAATTCATAATTTTGCGCAAGGTTTCTCGTCATGACGAACATTTTAAGTATATGGTTTATGGGGGTGTGACTTGTAGTTTTCTCAAAAGTTCTTGGGTACTTTTGGCTTTATATATAGATGTTTGTAAGGGAACATTACAAACCCTGGTCTTGTTTCTTGTTAAAATATTATGTTTTACTGTATTTGATCCAAAAAGTCCAATGAGTAGTTGCTTTGTTGATGGTTTGAAACTGGACCTAACTGTCCTTGATCGTTGGGATTTTAGTAAATTTACCTGACTAATGAAACAGCTGGTCTTAGTCAGGATCAACACAACAAAAGGCAACTCACTCCATTCTACACTCATCCTTAACTCATAACCTCACCTATTGATAATGAATCATGATTTGATAGTCCAGTGACAGAACTGGGAATGCTGGCCTAAAATTGGTCTCGCTTGAACAACCTGAACTGTACTTCCCATTTAGATTAGGCCTATTTTTTCCTAGAACCTGAGAAATTTAAGACCATTCAAAGCAGTTACCTACATTTCTGTATAGATTTTGTTTGACGTTCCTGTGTAGGCTTCCTCTGTAGGGGGTTTATCAGATAAATTAAAATCTTATATATATATATATATATATATATATATATATATATACACAAAATATATTGATTAGAGTAATTCCAGGTTTCACAGTAGTGATATGCACAAAATTATCATTCTAATCTCCTTTCATGTAAGAAATATTTCACCCACCAAGCCCATAGGTCCTAGAGCAGGCGTACTCATGCAGCCAGTTGAGACAGGCTCGGAAGTTCTTACGCACTTCTTCATGGTAAGTGTTCATGTTCTCCAGACACTTCTCCGCCTTGGCCTTCCACGAGGGTTCACCGTAGTCCAGGTACCACTGGTTACATAGGGCTACTACACACTCGTCCCCCGACCTACATCAAGAATGAATAATATCAAAACTATAAATTGGTGTAAATACATGCATTTATGCGATCCTGTTTGTAACTGAGTTGCTACCAGTTTCAACTCACATAGGAGTCATCTTCAGGCTGTTAAGATGTCTTCTCGCTTCATTCTAAGGTTGTCAATTTATAATAAATAAATAAACAAAACACGAACACGTGCAATGACATAAATAGGAACATTTAGGGCTAAAAAATACTGAAACGGTAGGCCTACGGGACACAACGTGATCGGGTGATAGTTATGTCTAGGGAGCCCGAAACAAACAGGAAAACAAACAGGATCGCATAAATGCAGTTATTTACACCAATTTATAGCATTTAAATGCCATCAGGAGGCTAAAATTCAATAATGAATAACAAAACGTCACTGAAATATTTTTTGAGATTATATGTTTTTACAGGTAAAAAGGAGTACTAGTATTAAAAGTGGCTCATAACTGAATGAGCTTGATTGCAGGGAAAAACATCAAACTAAGAGAGCACAGCTGTCAAAATCACCATTACTTTTTAACTTAATTGTATTTATTGGGTGTCGTGGAAGTTGATACTGATGTTCTCTTACAGCGGCGGTCATTCAGGGTTTTGCCGTGACCGCGAGAGACAATGACAATGTCTACACACACGACAGCAGGAAATCAGAATTTTGCGACGATCGCAGAAGACGATGGTGTTCCGTTACCGCGGGGGGTATTCAGAGTTTTGCCGTAATTGCAAGAGATATTCAATGAATTAAATATTTATGGAATCAACCCATCACTAATTTATACTATCTACCGATTTCATGTAGTTCCAATAGGGATAGGGTTTTAAGTGAAATTTGGCTTTTTTAACACACCCGGTCAACGAGACAGTGTGCGTCTGTTCACATCTTCAATTCAGTGCTAATGCGAGAGTAGGTGATCCAAACTACTAACCTTGACATAATCTGTTTCTCTGGTTCATAGTAGATCAATGCTTCACTAGCATCTACCAGCTCTTTTTGTATATCTTTCTTTACATCTTGTACTTTCTTTCCACTGTATTTTCCAACAGTCAACACCTAAACAAAACAGCCTGTTTACAATTTAAAATTGCACATAAAAGTATAAGTGATGATTTAATGCCTTTTTTACAGCTTCATAGATTAAGAATTACCATTGATTGAAACTTTGAATAATTGAATTTATAGTATTTCGCCACTGAATAATCATATAATTTTTAATTAAAACAATATCCTTTAAATTCAAATGAAAAGTGACCATAATATCCCCTCAAATCAACGGTTGTGCTTGTAGAAACGCAAAAAGCCACACATCTAAAATAACTCAGACAAGTTAACTAAACTGAAACTATAATTGAGCATCATCTACTTGAGCAACAAGGCCTTTTTTTATTATTTACCCCATCATAGAAACTCTTGAGGTAGACAAGTTCCTTGGCTTCTTGCAGCTTTTCTTTGTCGTTTTGACTTTGAATCTTCAGTTTGTCGTAGACAGTAACAGCACTCAGAGTTCCAAAATCTGGGACGTCGATTATTGGGATCTGAAAAATTGCAAATTATAGCACATTGTTCTATAATTATATTTAATTAAGGCCTGTAGTATCTGTGTAACATATTTATTTTGTTATAGTCACTTTAATTTCTTTATTTAAAAAACGTCTTTATAACAAGACACAAGATTACAATGAATCATGCAAAGTTAAACTATGGACTTTTCTATTGGTAAACTCTAGGTAGGCTATATTTTTTGAGTCTCTAGATTTATTTGTTGTCAAAGTACAAACAAAGTAGTTGTATTCCATGAAGAAAAGACAAATCAAGAGTATTGTCATTAGACTACTGTCTTGTCAGTTTTGTTAGGAAAAGAAGGCCTAAACTACTTCAACATTTTCATTCCCAAACATATTTTATTAGTGTAACAAAATAAACTGCAATCTAATGTGCAACTGAGAGAGTAAGCTTAATTTATATCATCACTGTATGAATTGTGTGTTACCTATAGCAACATTTTTCATAAATTATATTTTTAAAGAAGTTAAAAATACCTGTTGAACTGTCGAGTGATTCTGTTTTTATCTTCAGAGGCGACCATTGGTGTTGAACCTGAAGGTTTATTATCAAGTTGAATATCAAGTTATTTATAACAATTCTCTTTATTTGTGGTGGTATGAAGAGTTGCCACACAAATTGACACAAAATTCCAGTTTTTTATACAGTTTTGTTTATGTATTTACGTACTGCCATATATTTGAGTTCATGTGTGTTTATGACTCTTGAGCTGCTTAGCTATGAAACTTTATGTACATAATGTATTTGAAACCTTTTTGGGTATAAATGTGATCCAGAGGATTAAAGTGTTTCAATTGCTTTAGATAAAAAATCTATCTTTCTTACCAACAAACTCAAGGTTTTCTACTCACAGGATCGTAAGGGAGGACCATTTCATCAGTGATGCCAAACTTTTGACGGAGAGGTGCCTTCTTCTTGAGGTCCATCAGGGCTGCGTAATCGTCTGGACTGTCTGAAGGCACACTGGTCACTACTCCCGTGCCTTTGTCCTCCTTGATGCTCAACATGGGGAGAGTGTAGATGATGGGGTGGGGGGTGTACGGAGCCTTCAGACCACAGCCCATGATGTCCTACGTAACACAAAACAAACTGTTTACTGAGGAGAGTATGGCTAATTACAATTCTTGGAAACCGGTGGTGTCGAGGAATTGAGGATGTTCAATACTTCCTGACTTTGGATTGGATACAGACTTAAAAATCTCCTGTAAATGTGGAATAATCTTTATCATTAAGCTTTGAGGTAACATAAAACGTGTTTGACAAACCCCATTGCAAACATATATTTATCACCACATGTTCCCTACACTTCACTTTTTTGCTTTGTTCAGAAGCATTAATCAAACCTTGTTTATTTAATACAGTAAAGGATATTACCTGTCCAGTGACGTAGAACATAACCTCCAGCACTCCGTCATCGGGTGTGAACCCCTGATAGGCCATGTTGCGTGCTGAACGCTCAGTACACACAAACACCTCCTTGTCTGTGGTCTGGAACACTGCATAGCGGATGTCCGGGTGTACCCAGCAGTTGGTCTGTCCGTACATGGTCTCCGGCCTTAGTGTGGCAGCCACAAGAAACACTGGCTGATTGTCCACGGCGCTGTGCAAATAACAATGTTATTGCAAATGAAAACCAAACTGCCAAGTTGTCAATTAATTTTCTTAGGTTAGTAGACAACGTTAGCCACAATATCAAGGAAAACTGTTCTTGGTTTTCTACAAAATCAATATAAATATTTATTATTCCAAAGACTCTGAGGAAGTGTTGGTTGTGTTTGAGAATATAGTGTGATGAGAAAAATATTTGGCACATTCTATGATGATAAATGGAGATTTAGGAAGAAATAAGTTTTGGTAAGTATATTCAAACCCAGACATTGTGGCAATGTTTTAGAGCCTCAGATTGAGGATTGGGCTTAACAGAACATGTGTGGAGGAAAGATCTTCTAATAGGCCTTATCACAAGTGTCTACCTAAGAAACACTAACCTGAAAAGCCTAATTTAAAAGGACAAAGATAGACTTGAGACTACAGTGAAGACTACTCTGTATAAGAGGAGAATCATTGTTGATGAGACCAAAAGCCTATTGAGGTGGTAAAGGCCAAATAAATAAAATCTTGAAAAATGCATTAATTTTAAACCTTATTTTGAATTGTTATTTATTTTAGATTACAACTATTCAATAATAAAAATAAACAACATAAATGCACCCTAATTGAGTCTTGTGAGAGTGACTCATACCTCCTCTAAGGGTGGATGACGATTTGTTCTTCAGATTCATTGGCACATCAATCTTTACTCATATTGGATCGTCAAAACATTAAATACTCACACACAAACTTACATAAAACATTAAAATTAAGTATTTGACTACTACTGTCACCAATTACTATTTTCATTATGGCATTATGGCAGTGCTCGGTTGACATGGCCCAAAGTCATAATAAGACGGAAATAAGGTAAATTAACCTCTTATTTTCAAGATGTGAATCAAAATTACATAAAGATGAAAAATTTGAAATTATTTTTAGTTTGACTTGTTTTATTGTAATTTAGTTGTTGTAATAACTGCTTACCTCAGTTTTTCTGGGTAGGGTTTGAGCATTCTCATTTTGATGAGAGTGTACTCCTGAGGTCCAACCCCTTCTCCAGTGGCTCGGTCGTGGTCCATGCAAGGTTGATTATCTCTGGGTGAGAACACTGTATACCGCTTGCCATACTTTATCTACAACAATAAGTTGGACAAAAGAGTATGTCTGATTTAGACTTCAGATAGTTTGGACCGCCACATGCCTATGGCTAACACCATTACACACTGCTTTGTCCGTGGACACTTAGAAACAAAGTCACAACCTGTTTGTCTAGCACTTTTTGGTAAAGCTAGAATAGAAGTTATTAATTGATTTACTTATTTTGTAGTTTGATACTGTAGTGTGCTTATTTTTCACACAAATTAAATCGCATTAACTTCTGAAGGATTAAACTTATTTTGGTTCAGACAATGGTCGGACCCTGTGGCCAAAGAATGATCCTGACAGTTTAGAAACTTTCAATTGTTTAAAGAAATTAAACAATCTAACTTGAAAACAATTTAAGAGGGACAAAACTGTTTAACTACAATCACATTTGAAATAAGCCCTACCTTGGCTTTTTCCCTCAGTCTCAGAAACTGCCATCGGACGAAGCTGTCAAAGAAAGGGTTGGCATCTGTAGTGATGAACGTACGTCTCCAATCCACCTGGACAAAGATGGAACTAAATTCAACTTACCTCAGAAGTATTTTAAACACTAATTTGCATATATTGTTATTTTTGTAATTGAAAAATATATATTTGTAGACTAAGAAACTATAAAAGTGTAGGCCTACTGTAATTGTAATTTGAGCAACAATTTTCTATCAAAAACTTAATTAAAACTGACTGCATTTCCCTGTTTCAAGATTACAATATTAGAATAACAAAACTACCTTGATCTGTTATTTGGAAAAAAATGTTAATAATTCTATTTTCGTAAAAAAAAAATTAATTCTTGGTCACCAGCAAAATTGTCAGTTTTTAAATTGTGCTATAAATGAATTGATAATGTAATCTAATACAATATTGACGTTAATAGGATCTGGTTTGCAACAATCCTCTAGAGAAATGTTAAAATACCACTACAGTATACACAAACAATAAACAACTGAAAACTGATGAATGAAAACAAATATACTTTAAACATAATTTGAAATGAGACAACTCTCTATGTAAACTAGGATTTCCCCAAAGTTTTGTCTCCATAGTTTGTTTCATTTTATAAATGACTTCAACCCAACTAAACTTCAATTCAAAGGTACAACATATTTAGTGTAAAAGAAGTAAATAATGTAACATTTTCTTTAATATGAAGATCTTTAAAATTGGTACAAACTCGCTTAAAATAACAGATTTTGTTATTGGACATAAACAAAAATTGGTTTACAAGTTCAGTGTTAGCAAAGGATTTTCAGATTGAATTGTAGGAGCTATATAGTGCTTTCAAGTGTTTTTACGTTGTAGATTGGCTAAATTATGACAAAGGAATATTTGTTAAATACAGGTTAATTCTTGGATGTTCTCGTTATTAAATCTAGGCCTATGTATTTTTTCTGAATAATGTCAGAATGCAGCAAACAATAAATAAAAGAAAACATAAATCACAGATAGTAGATGTTATCAGTGTTAATGGCCTACAACAATGTTTCTTATCAGATACCATTTTATGCACTAGAAATAACAGTCAATAATACTTCATATTGCACAGTTTCTATCACATTTAAGAGGAGATTCTTGACACATTTTATACAAAAAATGTGATGTTTTTACTATTCATTAGATAGTACAGCTCATATTGTCCTTTACTTGTAGCTCGGGAAGAGATGAGATTTTTATTTATTTCCTGATTTTTAGGATGGGAACGGAATAGGATTTTTCCTCCAGTGCAACAAGGATTTGTTTTTAAAATTGTTGCAATTAGCATTAATAGCAAAGAAAATCAATTTTCTGAATTTATATAAAAATTGTAGTTTATAGAAAGGGAACGCACATGTTGATGTTCCATGTCAACATGTCTGTAATCTCTACCATTATTTTCTCCTGCGATTGCAGGTGCATTATCATAATCGTAAAATTGTTGAACATCTCATGCAATTGCAGGGAAATAATATTCCACTGCAGTAGTGACGATATCTCCTGTTATCGTCTCTAGCAATAGTCACAATTTTGATTATCTTAATCTTGACTCTTGAGCACCTTGATTATGTCCGGCAATCGTTCATCAGTCTCACTGGCACTTGCGGTGAAATCGTTGACAGTTAGATCAAATACCGTTCCAAGAAAATCCGGTATTAAATGTAATCTCGTCCAATGATAAGCAATATATTTTTCCCAAAAACTTCCTGAAATGTCAAGACCTTTCCAAATATGATTAGCAATGGAATAACAAATAAAGTATGTTGCTATACACACTGACATGTAGGCCAATGCTGAGTAGATCGTTGACAGCCAGGGGAGGGAAGTGATCCAGCCAGTGAGAGGCATTGGCAAACTGTTTAATCTCATCATCCTTCAGTCCAAGGCTCTGCATGATCTGCCACTGATACTTGGCTGTGCCTGCCTTCGCTACTGCCTTGCTCTGTAATAAAAAAAAAACACATCAACAACGGACTAGCTTCATCACTACATTGTTATTTCACAGCCACTGATAGCATTTTCCTGGAAAACATCTTTATTCCCAAACTCAAATCTATTTTTGGTAAAACATTGTAAGTGACATTGAGATATTCTAATTTGTGTGTTTGTATAGAGTAAAGTCTTTGTATTTCTTGTTCCAAAGTGAACCCTTTCCCATTCAGATAAGCCTGTTATAATAACCCAAATCTTTGAATCCTTTGGATAAAACAGTTTCATATTCCAAGCCCCTTGCCCCAGCAACAGGAACCAAAATTTCAACGTCAACCTTTAACAATGTGTACAATACCCCCGCCGCAGCAAACCTGCCGACTAAGCAAATTTCCATTTGTCTGAATTGATTTTCAGTTAAATATATTTTAATAACATTAGGTTTAACGAGTACCTAGGTTTGCTGCTACAAGGAAACTAATAAAGTGTGTTTTTGAGTAAAATATTGATAGCTTAGTACAAAATAAATAAATTTTTGAAGTTTGATCAAAATATATCCATAAACAAACAAACTACAACATTTGACCATATTCTCCATAAAAATAACATGGGAATTTTAAATTTAAATTTTTTTTGATTTTCTCCGTTACTAATAATCGAACAAAAATACTTTTATATACAAAATTATTTGTTTTTTTGAGCTCTTTAAAAAGGTCTACAGAGAAATCGGGAAATTTTGTGTTTTGAGGGTCAAAAGTGAGAAAAACCAATTTTTACCCCATAAAACCCCCCGTAAAGCCCCGTTCCCATGGGCCGATCGTGCTGGTTCGCGAACTCATTCAAGTTTATCCCGCTTTACACCTTTAAACCAAATTTCATCAAAATCGGACAAAAATTACTCAAGTTATCGCGTTTACGGACGTATATATGACAACATTCATACATATATAAAAATTTGAACGAATGGTGTTTTTGGCCTCTGGGGACATCAAAATGAAAAAGTAAATCGGTCCCGGGTCTAGGTCTTACCGTGCCACCTACGGTAATAGCTACTTCCCTATAGGGAAATTCGCTAAATACTTCCCTATAGGGAAATTCGCTAAAAAAGCTACAAAATGTCTAAAACTAGACAATTTTTCATAATTTTTGATAAGTTTCTTTACCAGGCCCAATTGTAAAATTTAAAATGGCGGATGGAAAACTATACTAAAATATAAGTTAAATGTGCTGTTTATTGTATCCATTTCAAAAGTAACTTATAAATGCAAATGATGTCAATCTTTCATATACCGTACTTAAAAAAAACAACTAATTATAACAATAAAATTGAATACAAAGTGGCTAAATACTTATATTGTCTAGAATTCCATCAATATTTAAACTTTTTTTCAATATAAGAAGAAGTGAGTAAGCTAAAAAAGAAATTGTATGATGGGGAACACAGGCATCTGCCTTAATTTTTTGCATAACGAAGTTAATGTAATTTATAATTTTTTTAAGAAAACTTACTGCACAATTAGCTGGTAATGCAAAAAAATAATGAATAGATCACTAATCTATAAAGATTGAAATTCATTTGGACTGTACCAGTATTAGAAACACTAAGACAATTTTAAGTAATATGGTTAAATCTATGCACCTGGAATTTAAGAAATACCCTGAATAAATAATTATTAAAATTATTAGAATTCGTTTCATACTAAAGGAACGTCAAATAATAATGAATGTTAGTGTTAAACCTACCTTCTTTCCTTTGCTCTTGTCCTTGATTACCAGATCATTGGTAGTTTCTGTAGGGGTTTGAGGCTCATCAGAAGGAAAGTTAGGTGGAAACCCAAATGTCTCCATTTCCCGCTTCAGTTTGTCAGCACAGGCTTTTATAGGCATTCCAGTGCAATGGAAACCAAAGGGGAACAGAACTCTCTTGCCCTTGAGCCGATTATAGCGAACTGCAAACTGAGTAAAAAAAGAGCTAAACAACTGAAGACAAAAACTGAGAATACACAATAAACATTTTTTAATTTATTTATAAGAACTACAAATAACTTATTTTTTACCAAACAAACTGAAATATTTCTTACATTTACAAAATTAATTGGTCCATAATTTATTTAAGTTTTACTAACCTCACATTTTGATAAAGAGAATGTGTGTCCTAAATGAAGTCTACCATTCATGTAGGGAAATGGAAAAGTCGTAAAGAACTTTTCATCAGGCGATTTTCTTGGTTCAGAGGGAGCCTCTTCTTCGTATATCTTTTCTCTTTGCCAGCGTTCTTGAACATCTTTTTCAATTTTTTGTAAATATTCAACCTTGAAGGTTCCCTTTCTATCTAAGTTGGTCGTCTGAAAATAAACGTATTGTATTATTTACTTTTTATTTAACAATACACAACGTTTCGGGATCTGGAATCTGATCCCGTCCTCAGGTGAAAAAACTTAACTTAAGTTGGAATACTACAGAGGGTAGGACTACAGAGGGTAGCAGTCAAAAAATTGTTGTTGTTGCTTGTTTGTTGTTGTCGTTGTGTGTTGTTTTTTACCATCGTGATGGAAAATGTCCGCAATAAACCTTAGAACAACATTAACTCACCATTCAAACACAGAGTTCAATTTAATTATTATTATTTTCCCCCTTTTTGTTCCTTCTTACTTTTATAATGTTTATTATATCTTTCTTCTTGATTTGCGTATTTACTCATTTATTTTTGCGAATAGCAAACAATGTTGTGTTGCCATGGAAACCATATCACCAAAAATCTGCTGCGGTAAGGTAAACAAACAATTGTTTTTCCAACAGTTTGTAACAGTCTGATTTATGTATCGAATTGAAATACTGAAATGCTATGAGAAAGGATGGAAACATGTCCACGACATAGGAAATGGTGAAAGAAGTAGTAAATGCTAGCAGTGCGGAGGGTGGGAAATGTTTGTGGCAATTAGATTAATGTATTTAAAATACTAAAATGCTATGGAAGAGATGAAAACAGGTCCACAACGTAGGAAGTGGCGTAGGAAGTAGTAAAGTTTAGCATCGCAGAGTGTGGGAACCGTTTGTGGCAGTTAGATTAATGTATCTGTAATACTTAAATGCTATGAGAAAGGAAGGAAACAGGTCCATGACGTAGGAAATGGTGAAGGAAGTAGTAAAAGCTGGCATCGCAAAAGCTCAGTCCCCAGGTACTTACTTATAAAAGTACACAACTTTTGATTTTTATACGTAGGGAAACAATTGAACATTATAATAGTAGTGTCATTTGGTGTCTGGATTATTCTTGGAATTTTTAAAATCAAGTTTACTTTCAAAAATTTGTTTTTAAAATTTTTATTTTTAGCCTAAAATCTTTGTAATTTTTGATTTTTTTAGTTTTACACTTTGACTATCCAATTACCGTCACTTTTCTGTAGACAATTTTACTGTGAACAAAATGGTGAAAAAATTATTCATTTATTACCAAAGGATTTCTTTCAATAGCAATTAGAGTAAAAGCTTCTGTATCCAATAGTCAATGGTAAAAGTCTACAAATTCGGTAAAATTAATTACCGACAGAGGGTGCTGCATGCAGTGCATAAATTCCTTCCCCCAATGGGTTAAAACATGAAAATGCCCAATTTTACTTACAGCCATCGTTTAGAGCTGTACATATATATACAAACAGTGAGCGTTTTGTTTACGTGTTTTGTTATTTGTAGTGAGATGTGACAAGCATGATGCAAATTTTATGCTTTCACGTACCATATTTGAATATTTACATTGTAGCAAGAATATTGAACAGAAACTGTCTGGATAAATAAACATAAACAAATACGTCCCTGGCCCGAATTTCAATAGGCCTACTAATACAGTTCTGTGCTCGCGGACGGGTGGGCGGACCGGGCGGTCGCCCAGGGCGGCGGAGCCGGGGTGGCCGTGGCGGGGAAGCCCGGGTGGTGGAACTGGGGCGGCAAAGCCAGGGCAACAAACAAATTTTAGGGAACAGTAAATTTTTAATACAAATAAAATAATAAATTCATTAAGTGAATGTGAAGAGTACAATTATCTATATTACATTTGACGCAAAGAACAAGCCTGAAGATAAACGGCAATTCAAACATCAATTTAAAATTATAATTTAAGCCCAAATATAAAAACCAACCACTCGGCTTGAGTATCGAACAACCGTCGCCACCACGTTACGACGTTACCCAGGACGAGTGACAGCGTCAAAGTAACATTGCAGCGGTTGGGATTGACCTCGACGTATTCCTCTCTCTCTCTCTCTGCCCCCTCCCACGATGTTGTGTTTACTTTATTATTGATTATTTTGGTAGCATGGGCTTCCCTTCCCTCCGAGAGAGAGGAGTTGCAAAAATGAGATATTTTGCAACTTTTTATCTTAATAAACAATGTCGTAATTTGCTTCAACAATTAATTTTTTAACATTGCCATTTTGGGGGAAATCCAAGATGGCCGAAAGTCCTGCCGACTCTTAGGTCAGATTTTAAACAAAAACCAAAAAATAATTGATATCTGCAACTGTAAACATAAACCACCTTGAAATGAAAATAATTTTAAAATGTTCAATTTACACTTAGAACCCTTAGTACATAATTAAGTCAGAGTTAAGGGAGACACCATAATTCGGTGATCGCTCAAGAAAAGGGTGGAGCCCAGGAGTAAACAATTAGGCGGGACAGTGACATAGATACGGTGGGGGGGGGGGGGGGGATCAGGGGGATATATCCCCCTTCAACCTATAATGGGTAAAAAAATTGTAATAACATTTAAAAAATAATGTTTTGACGTATGCAATGAAATAGTGAACCTTTTTAATTTTATATCTATTATTGTATTAAGCTTGTTTTTCAAAAGTATACTTTCAATATCAATAAATCGTAAATAAACTGCAATGCCAGTGAAAGTAGTATGGTTTTTTCGCGCAAAACAGAGTACAGACACAAGTCACGGAAGGTCAAAAGCCTTAGCCTCCCCCTACCACCACCACTTCACCTTTTACACCTACCTGAAATTAATCGTTTTAACGTGAGCAATAAAATAGTTAATCAAATGTCATGCCTATAGTACTGTACTAAGCGTGTTTGTTTGTACGTATACTTTCATTGTCGATGAATAAATGGTAACAGATAAACTACATGCCGGTAGCAGTGGTGGGGTTGGATATTTGCGCGCCAAACAGACGTGAGTCACAGGACGTTCCGCGTTCAACCGCCCATCGACACCCTCCTCCTCTACCCCGTCACCCACACAACGCTTGATCTGCTGTCTGGTGTTAATTATTGTGCCAGTGTGTTTTTATGATTTTCGTATTACGTGGTGTCTCATGAGTGTTATTTTATGTCGAAACAAAGTAAACTGATCGGGTTTTTCGCCCCGAAAAGAAAGATTTGATGGGTTTAGCTGGTGTGGCAATGGAACAACGAAGTTAAGTGATTTTATTACTCGCCTTTGAAATAATTTTTTTTTAATAGGCCAAGTCCCGTTAACATATTAATCAAAATATTCAGTGTTAAAGTGTTACAAAATTGCATAAAATTGTATTAAGTATTAACACCAGATTTCACTTCCTAAACGCTTAAAAATAGTGTTTAGAGAAGTTTTTTTCTAAAATTTTCCCCCCGGGGCGGCAGTCGCCGATCTCGCCAAGGCGGCAAAGTCCCTAGGGCCGTGCCTGGTACAAGCCGAACTAAAACATACGGGTACCGGTTATTGGCAGTGCTGGGGGTAGGGTTCGAGTGAGTAGCAAGACACAAAATGTTTTCACAAAAGTACCCCCACCAACCCCCTCGCCTAGACCCGACCGGATTTGGTCGCGCGCACAGAAACTTTGGCCGAACTGTACCCATAACAACTGGATTTGGTCGTTATTATTCGGAGGCCACCCTTATACAGCGTGCTGCGGCGGTTATGTTAGGTTAGGTTATATCATAAATATGTTTGCAGGACTTTTCTCATTTCGTTATGAATCAAACGATACCAGATATGAGTCATACTTTCGCACGCCAAATCGCCTTCAAGTAGGCCAAGGTCAGGTCGTTGACCGGAGCGCGCGCATCACCTGTATCTGGGGCGGGCGAAAATATTACTCACCCGGTAGGCCTATCATTTGATTATAACGAAACGAGGAAAGTCCTACAAACATATTTATGATAACCCAACCTAACTAAACCCAAATTGCCATTTGAAATTTTTGAGATAACAGCTTTTGAAAATTCAACAAGTTTGAAAATGTGTAACATAAGTAAAAATATAGGAAAAGGGTTGAAACCAGAGTTTTTTGAAAGCTCATTTAGCAATTATAGTTTTATCAAAATTTGAACCCCTACGAAATTCCACCTCTTTGCAGTGAAAAGTAGTTCAAAGGTCGAAAGGTCTATTTTTTGTACATTCTTGAACACCCTGAAAATAGGGATGAAAAAATTTAAAACTTTTACCACTAAAGGTACTCAGGACTCAAGGACCTTTAAAATGAGGTAGGTACCTATAACACGACCCCCCTTTACATTTGAAAATTTCCCTAAAACCACCCTAACCCCCCAAAATCTGCCCTTTGGGGTGCTTATTTGGATTTGAAAATAATTTACCTGAATTCCTTGGGGTCAAAATAGGGGGTTCCAGTTGCAATTAAGTTTCCATTTGCTTTCATAATGATCTATAGAAGCCAACCGGGTGGTCTGAGACACCCTATATATATCCCATATATATAAATATATATGAACTTGAACGGATAGTGTTTTTGGCCTCTGGAGACCTAAAACGAAAAAGTAAATTGGTCCCCGGGTCTAGGTCTTTACATGGGGTAATAGCTTATTCCCCTGAGAAATCCCCTGGAGCTAAATTTTAAAACGTCAAAATCCGACAATCTCCGGGGATATGGCAACCCTAGCTCAAAAGAGCCCTACAATCGTTTACACTTATAATCACTCCCACGATCATTCACAAGCGGAAAAAGCTTTTACTGTACTAACATTTTTACTCAATTTTGTGTTGTTTTTTACAAACCACATTGGCACAAAATTGTAAAAAGGTTGAGATCGCCTACTTGGTTTTGCTTTGTGGTCCATTTGTCCTGGAAACAAGTGACATATTTTAAGGCTGACACATCATCTTTCAAGATAAGTTTTTAAACGTCCAATAGTGGTTTAACCCTTAAGTTTTGTGTGACATGAAGATGATGTTTCAGCATAGGAATGTGTAGTCCGTTCAGAAAGCAAAAGGATAACTTACCGGTAACAATACTGAATCAGGTAGGCCTAAGTAACTTCAACTGTTTTGCGATCATTGTTAACTAAACTGAGTTCCTAGTTTTTATACTAACTTAAGGAAGGAAATCCTCGAATCTATGAGTCAATAGCTTATAACAATCTTTGGGTACAGTTTCTTAACTGGGCTATGCTAATATTGATTGAAACTATCGAATTGAAAATATTGATTAATAATCAATATTTTTAAATAGTTTTATTATAAAATAAAACTATCATAACCTAACCTAACCAACCAAACTTGCTGATGGTGAAAAAATCGCATGAAGGTTTACTAATCGAATCGATAGTTTTAATCAATATTAGCATAGCCCAGTTAAGAAACTTTACCCCAATCGTTCCATACCTAACTGTTATAACTGTGCACTTTTTACATAGACCTAACAAAGTGTGGGTAGGCCTAACCTTTTTCCTAACCTTAAAACAAGATTATTTTACTTTACACAATATACAGTAAACAATATATTAGTCATCAACGTTTACTAATGTTTCTTAAAAAAAACGGACGAATCCAAAACAAAAAAAGATAAACTTGATGTATAAAGTTCCAAACAACATGGATTCATCGGTAGGCTATAAAATGCTCTACCGGACGATAATTTCTTAAACGCAGTAGGCCTATGCCTAAACCTTAAAACAAATTTTGATTATAATTATCAACGGTTACCATTTTTGTGTACTGGAATAGGTTCGTTCAAATATCTCAGAGATTCATAACAATGTCACTAACAGTAAAGACAATTTTTGGAGAGATTTCCAATAAAACGAGGCGAGAATCGTCACACACTCAGGCACTCTGTGGACCTAACCTCAAATAAATTACTAGCTGACGACGTTGATTACATCACTCGAGACTCGACTCATGTACCAAAAAACTAGATCAACTTTAACGTCAATAGTAATGGTACTATATTAAATGTCTTTTACATTTTTAAGAGTAAATGTTTTAAATTGATTAATTGTGAAGGGATATTCCTCCTAAATTAAGCATAGTTCTTGTGTTGAGTTATAAATTAATGACTAATGACTATATCTTTGTCCAAATTGTTTTCAATTAGAAATCCATCCAAATTTCCTGGCAGTTAACCTCCTCGACAATAGTGAAGCTACATATAGGCTCAAAAACAAAAGAGTTAATCCAATAGACCTTCCAAATCGTTTTTAGTTAAACTTTTAAAAAGTTTTTGTATGTTAGTGCACTTGATGGAGTGAAACTAACCCATGTTAAAATGGTTAATAAATTTACTTATTGTTCTAGTATAGAATATTACGACGGCGCTGAAGGGCCACCAACTATAAAAAAATATTTGACTTCATCTCTGAGAAAAAACTTAGAATTCTGAGATTAAAGTCAGAGCGCGGGAAGTCGGCTTCCTCTCTGAGAAAAAAGTCAGAATTCTGAGATTAAAGTCAGAATTTAACAAGTGGGCGTTCCCTATGAAATAAACGGTATCAGCAATCTGACACATACTTTCTCCCGTAAGTTTGTCAACAACCTTTATCATGTGTAAGTTGTGAGAGTAAATATACAGAAATGGGATTTGTACAATTTTGTTCAGAATTTAAAGGAATATAACATGCTAAGTTTTTATCAAAATCGTTTGGGCCATTTTTGGGAAAATCCGATTTTTTTGTTATTTTATGGAGGTTTTATGGGAAAATGACATAATTTACATTAACTTTTGAACCGTATTTTTAAAGAAATGGGATTTGTACCATTTTGTTCAGAATATAAAGGACTATAACATACTAAATTTTTATCAAAATCGTTCGGGCCATTTTTAGGAAAATCCTATTTTTCCGTTATTTTATGGGGTTTTATAGGAAAATCCCCATTAAAAAATTTCTAAAAAAATAAAAAAAACCATCAAAACTGTAAGGACTATAACATACTATGTTAAATCAAAACAGGATTTTTTCTAAAATCCTATTTTTCGTTTTTATGGGGTTTTTATGGGAAAATAACATATTTGACCATAACTTTTGAACCGTAATTTTTACAGATATGGGGTTTGGACCATTTTATTTAGAATTTAAAGGGCTACAACATACTAAATTTTTATAAAAATCGTTAGGGCCATTTTTGAGAAAATCCGATTTTTCCGGTTTTTTATGGGTTTTTATGGGAAAATTCCCATTAAAAATAAAAATTTCAAAAAAATGAAAAAAACGCCTGGAGATACCATGGATTAGAACCTACATACCAAATTTCATCGAAATCGGACCACAGATGTAGTCTCTAGCTCTGTGCACATCCAGACACACAGACACACAGACACACACACAGACACACGCACACACACCCACACACACACACACACAGACATCACTTCGAAAACCACTTTTTTGGGTCCAGGGGGACCCAAAACGAATATATCCACTCAAAACTCAAACTCGAAAATTTTGACGAAAACAATACTTTCTCCATATACTATGGTATAGGGGGAGAAAGTAAAAAGTTAGAATTCTGAGATTTAAGTCAGAATTTAACTTGTGGGCGTTCCTCTCTGTGAAAAAAGTTAGAATTCTGAGATTAAAGTCAGAATTTAACTTGTGGGCGTTCCTTGAATTGGACGATCTTCTACTGCCTAACAAAACGGCGAATTGAGCACCGAAATGGACACTAATGAAAGAGAAGCCATTTTGGTGATTATTTTAGATTAGGCTTGGCTCAGGCAGAAATATAGCTTTACTTTGCTTGTAAATATAACACATCTGTGTTGAGTATTAGACAGTTGAAACGTACTGTATTTTAAAAAGGTTTAGGTTTGTTTAGGAGGATTAATTAGTCTTCAATTGAAGAGGTGAAACATTTCATTAGGAATGAGCTTAACTACTCAGACCAGTTAGGCCTACATGGATACAGATGGATGCATTTGAAATGTATCCAAAATGGCTTTGTAGTAAAACAAAACACAGTTAGTTCGATTCATAAAGCACTTGACCCTGTAGGATTTGACCTCAGGACCCGCAAACGTTTACGTCGACGAAAATACAAGAACAAAGGTCCAAAGTATCTTTGGCATTTAGATGCATATGTTAAGTTAAAGCCATTATGGCATATGTGTCCATGGTTGCAAAGACTGAGTTTGAATAGACTATAACTTATTCTACTCATTCACTCAGTCAATACTCAACTCAAACTCAAGTCTAGCCTATCGCTAAAGGGACGGGTAGACAGAGAGCAAAGAGTTAAAATCTGACTTAAATCTCAGAGGGGAACGCCCACTAGATCTAGTTGTAATTTCTGACTTTAAACTCAGAATTCTGACTTTTTTCTCAGAGAGGAAGCCTACTTCCCGGGCTCTGACTTTAATCTTAGAATTCTAAGTTTTTTCTCAGATATGAAGAAAATATTTTTTTAATCAGTTGGTGGCCCTTCAGCGCCGTCGTAGAATATATTGTAAATAAATACTTGTTAAAAAAAAAATTGTTTTCATTATTTTCAATAGTAAGTTCAAAAGTTATGAATGCGACCATGTGAAAAGACAATAACCGGGAGCGCTTTTGAGTTTTGAGTTTTTGGGTCAAAAAAGGGAAAACCCAATTTTTACCCCATAAAACCCCCCTAAACCCTCTCGTAGTCCAATCATGCTGGTTCACGAACTCGTTAAAAATAAATGTAGGTTTACACGTTTATGTTTAGGCTAAACGTTAGGTTACAAGTTTGTTTAGGTACACGTAAATATGAATTTGAATGGATGGTGTTTTTGGCCTCTAGGGGCCTTAAGACGAAATAGGAAATCGGTCCTGGGTCCAGGTCCTACCAGGAGTACTACCATAGATAGAACATAGTCCCTTATTAGATTTTCCATCCTTATGGATCAATTGAAGAAAAAAAGGCCCTTGAACTCCAGGTCGCGGCCTTCGAAGTGGCAACATCGCAAGTAGGGTTGTAACTGATGTTTTTTTGTGCAGCTAATGGCATTTGTGTATATATTTTTAAATACGAAAGCTTGGTTACTGGGCTATAAAAATATTGAATTCACTTTAAATGTACAAAATAGATTTTCAATTTAAATATTGTTTTGGTTTTAAATTATATATGTTTTACTTTCTTTATTTAAATAACTTTATGTTCATAAATTTAAATTTAAATTAATAATACGTGAATTAATGAGCTGGTGTCACCTGTCTGCCATGTTATCTTATGGGATGTCTGGCTCTAGCCACGGATGCCTTTAACTCCAGGCCGCGGCCTTCGAAGTGGCAACGTTGCAAGTGGTGTTGTAACAGCTGTTTTGTTTGGAAGCAGCTAATGGTATTTGTATATTTACTATAAGTTCTATTTACTGCCCACCTAGACACAACATTACACGCCAACAGTTTAATGATTTCTTCTGCACTTTAGGCTGTAAATTTTTGTCAGGAGGAGACTACAATGCCAAACATCCTACATGGGGCTCCCGTCTGGCAACTCCTAGGGGTCGACAACTATTGCAGTCAATCCAAGAACGGAACCTTGATACTCTATCGACAGGCGAACCGATCTTGGCCGATATTGGCCCTCTGATCGTCAAAAAATACCAGATCTTCTTGATTTTTTTGTTACAAAAGGTGTATCCCGAGATTTTGTGACAATCGAGCAATCTCTGGACCTTTCCTCAGACCACTCACCTGTAATTTTAACGATCGCTTCAAATGTTATATTCAAACCTATTCCACCACATTTATGCAACAAAAATACAGATTGGAATTATTTTCGTGAATTAATGGATCAAAATTTAAAGATTTCTGTGTGTTTGAAGAGCGAAGAAGATTTGAATCTTGCTGTTGAACATTTCAACAAAACAGTTCAAGACTCCGCTTGGAGAGCAACTCCAGACCAGAATAAACATAATTTAAAATCAGGAATACGCTATCCAATTGAAATTAATAGGAAAATTGCCGAAAAACGCCGACTCCGTAGAATATGGCAAAACTCTAGAGACCAGACGGATAAAAGAAATCTAAACAGGGCCACTCAACAACTGAAAAGGTTACTGTTCAAATTAAACAATGACAGATTTCAAGATTTCACATCAAACCTTTCTCCATCTGAAGCTAGTGACTACTCCCTTTGGAAAGTTACAAAAAACTTAAAACGTCCTCAAATTTGCATTCCACCTATTCTAAAAGAAGACGGTTCTTGGGCCAAAAACAACATCGAGAAAGCAGATGTATTTGCTTCATACTTCAAGGAAGTGTTCAAGCCATATAATATTAATTCAAATGTTGAGCAAGAAATTTTGGAATTCCTCGATTCTCCAAATCAACTTGATTTACCAATAAAATTGTTCACACCATCTGAAGTAGCTAAAGTGATAAAAGACTATTTAAACGGTAAAAAAGCCCCCGGTTATGATCTGATAACAGGTAAAGTGTTGAAAGAGCTTCCTAGAAAAGGAATAGTTTTCCTTACAGTACTTTTCAATGCAGTTTTACGCCTTGAATACTTCCCAATACAGTGGAAGGTTTCACAAATTGTTGTTATTCCGAAACCTGGTAAACTTTTAAATCAAGCATCCTCGTATCGGCCTATATCTCTTCTTCCTGTGGTTTCTAAAGTTTTTGAAAAACTTTTCTTAAAAAGACTCCAAATTATAATTGATGAAAAAGAATTGTTGCCTTCCCATCAGTTTGGGTTCCGCCGAAGGCATTCCACCATTGAGCAAGTGCATAGAATAGTGAATGTAATCAAGGAAGATCTTGAAAATAAACGTTTTTGTTCATCTGCTTTTTTGGACGTAGCCCAGGCGTTTGATAAAGTCTGGCACACAGGATTATTGTTCAAAATTAAAACTTTGCTGCCCCATACAT